CAATCTCATGGGAGATAAATGAGAATAATGAACAGTAACCCAGAGGCAATACAGTTCAGAGTACCTGGACTTGGCCAGAGAAGTGCGGGTTTGATCCCAGCTCTGTGGTCTGTGCGCCATATGTAATTAACATGATAATAATTTAAATAAGCGTTAGTCGTTATGCATTAATTTTTTTAACCGTATTATTTTTATCAATTAAAACGTAAATTGTTTACGTATTAATTATATAAAATTATGTAAGGAGTGACATTCGGATCTAATATGAACATGGATTGTCCAATGTGTTTAATCAAAATTTGTATGATAATTCGATCAGTATGACGCGTTTTTACTAATTATAGAAATTTCTAATCGAATAAATTGGTTTATGTATTGTATTGGCTCATAAAACTGAAAGTGAATATTGTTCTCTCAGGTTTTCTGACACGACCACTAGCTGAAAATGATCCATGTCCAAACAAACGTGCAAAAAACAAAGTTGAATGTTCGCATGTTTGTCATGAGGTTAATTTCAAAAACATAATTTTTAGCATGGATTTTTATTGTTCTGATTTACGCTTTCTTGAAATTCGTAACTCTACTAAAATGCATCATAGATTATTCAAACCTATAAAGTATTTTTTGTACGAGCTAGAGCAAACCGTCATCAAACGCTAAAAAAAAAATTCGCTACTGAAGGGTTTGATGTAGCTGCTCCGGCTCGCGTGTCCGTAATCCGCATTATGAGAGACACCACCAAAACGGCAACAGATGCTTGCATTTGTTGAGTGTAGTGAGTGACTTTATCTGTGAAAGAAGGTACGACGAATTCAGTACAGCCTTACATGTAATGAATTTTTTCTGGCGATGTGCTGTTTAAGGGCTTTTGGCCATTACTGTTGAAACTGTAGCTCTACGGGCGCGGTTAAATTTATCCATGGCCACGGGTAAAGAAAACCATGGCCATTGGCTACGGGTGAAATTATCCATGGCCACGGGTAAAATTGTCCCTCGTTGACAGGTGATTTTTGCTCTTGTACGGGTGACTCCTGCCCATTATTCCAGTCTGGTTTGATCAGAAGTTTTCGTTCATTTGATCAGAAGTTTTCGTTCGTTTGATCAGAAACAGAAAAAGGTTTTGTTTGTTTGATCAGAAACAACATAATTATTCATTCTCTTGCATTAAGTATACAAACGATTAGTTAATTCGTAATTCGTATACGAATTAAGTAACGATTGATCATCCCGCTAGATCACCGTTAGCAGGAAATAAGCAATTCAAAAGGCTGCCAGGTGCACAATTCCATCTATCATTTCATTTCTATGGCATTCTAGTTATTTCTAGCCTCTAGGCTCTAGGTAGGTATGCATAATTTTGTGATGACTGATGTCTGCTAGTGACGAAACATTAATTTTTTCACAAGTGAAAATTTTGTTTTTTTGCTGAGCAAGGTAAATGTAATTAAAATTTTTGATGTCAATCAATTTTTCCTTAACTGGAGCCTTTGCTAAACAAGGTTCTACTTCTACCTAGCCTACTGTAAATGCGTTTTTAGGGGTGTCCCTTCAATGTCTGCGCCGTGCCGTGCGTAACCCGACAAGGCGAAAATATTCTTACGGAATACGGGGGTCATTTATAGCGCATGGATATTGCAGACATTATGCAATACTCAATACAAATTTTTTGGTCTCTCATATATCTTTAATGCAGTTAATTACACATTTAACACTGCTTACAATTTACACATTTAGCTAGCCCACACTGACTGAGCTTCACAATGATTCCGATGTGCCAGTCCCCTAGGTAAGTGTCGGAAAGCAGACATATTTACGATACTTCCTAGAACATGGATCCGATCATTTAAGGACAAAATTAATTTTTTCACGAGTTAACCAGCGAAAAACATGCATGAACTATAATAGTTCTATCATGAGCAAAAAATCTGGTGATTGTGCTATGAGTAAATTGAAAAATAAGTTATTATTTCGCTGAGTCATTACTAATAAATTTTAATAATATTAGGAAATTTATTTGCCCACATGCGTCTTAAATGTGTCCGCATTGTCACCGTTTACATGAATTTTATCATGAATGAACAGCTAATGTGTATTATTTTTCAAATAAATTTAAATTAGTTTTTCTTCTGCTTGGGTTTGAAACTTAATTATTAATTAAACTTTTAGGTTAATCATTAATTTATTGAGTAAGCAAGAGAAGTTCAATGATTAATGCTTTATGTAAGTACTACATCGTTAATTAATTAACATACCGTAGATATACAAGATTTTATTGAGTCGTGAACATCGTGTAAGCGCCATTATTTCGCTGTAATTTTTTACAATTTAGGTGGGCTATAAAGGCTGAACTTATTATATTTAATGCCATTCAACCTGATATGCAAACATAATTCGTTATTCCATTTATTTTGTGTATAAAATTGTGTTTAAATATTCACTAATGGCAGCCTTTTCTTGGCGATTGAAATTTCTTTTTAAACAAAAGAGTTAACCAATGAAGACTATTGGCTCGCATTCGTCTTCTATGGCTTGATGTAATTGTAAAGATTTAATTTTTTCAGCGTTGAATAGACTGAATCTGACGTGACATAAATTTTCTATTTTGCTGGATACTTGCTATTCTCAACCACCTAGCCAATTTTGACTAGACTGCCCAGGAAGCTGGGATCAAACCCGCAGCTCAGTGCTCCAACACTACTGCTCTGCGGAGGTCAAGGTTGTTAAATCATGAATTGTACTGCAGGATTTACACGACCTCAGGTCGCCATTCTGGTGCTCGCCACAAGTTGAACTCTTTTGCTTAATCAAACACCCAAAGATCTCAAAAAAATAATTAGTCAGTCATCATGAATACAAAACTGATTTCCACAAATTATTTCCTTTATTTCACCAAAATCTTCAAGCTCTCTGAAAGTTGAACATTGAACTAATTATCGTCGCTGTCAATGTTAAATTTTTCCCTCGAGAAAATTTATTTCGATTCGAAAGAAGAGTTACGGGTGGAAAAAAGGCTACGAAAACACGTTACACTCGAAAATTTAGAGCTCACAAATAAATTCAAGAACTGATGATATATCTGACACGAAGCAGAATTTATGAACTCTAAAATTAAAAGCAAATAAAATTTTTCACAAGGCCTAAGTCATCGACTTGGCAAGAATCAGTGGATCTCTAAGAGTCATCAGATAACCTCTGAGTTATAAACTTTTTCATTCGACTAGTTATCAAAATGTGTCTAACTTTCATTCATGAATTTCAAATCGATACTTAAGGTTCCATTCACAGCACCTATTGTTTGAACATCAAGCTTGGCAAAGCCATTCGAAATACGTTATAACTTGTAACAAAAATTACGAGAATTAACATATCCACCAGATGCCAAAAAACTGAATTATGGAGAGGCCCCTCGTTAAACAACAAATAATAGTTCGATCAACATAAATATTTGATGTACACACTATGCACTATTTTTATACTCGTCTGTTTCTACTTCTAATCACGGAATTCTAGCTCATATATACGTTTGGGAAGTTTATGCAGTTTTTTTAAAAATCGTGTGTACGAAAAATCGATGAAATCTATTGGCACTGCTAGCCTCTTACTCTCTAGAAATTCTTCTGATAGGCATTGAAAACGCTTCAAGTTAAGCCATGCAATACATTTATTTATCAGGTAATACATTCCATTTATAATTTTTAGTGAAAAAAACACAGTTATTTGAAATTTTTATTCACTCAGAGAAACGAGTGATACTTTGTCCAAAAACGGATACACTTTTTACTCCTGAGTGGGTAAACCCGACCCAGTCTGGCCCACTAAAATGGCATGTCAGTGCAACGTCCGCTCTCTGCTCGAGCTGTTGGTGTTAAAGTGCATCACCATGTAAACAATATTACCCATTCCTTTTTTTTTTTTAGTGTTGAGCAAACATCAAGGTTCTCAGCGTAAAGTTTTAAGGCGCGTGGGGCGACGCGAATGGCCCCACCTGAGCGGCGTACGCAATCACGTGGGCCACGTAGGTCTGCTCGTGCGTTCGGTGGAACAGGTGCGACCACGGGCCTGATGATTATATATATTATAAGATGATTAATATTGTTGTGTAGGGACTGACCGCAATGTAACGGATCTGATTGTTATAAATAATTTATGGGGTGATCAAACTTGAGGAGTCGGAAGTTGAGAGCAGTACCAAGGTCCTAATAATTAAAAACATTTTAAGGTGATTAATATTAGGGAGAATAGAGTGAACCATCCTGTCAGCGTGAGGGAATACAGTCTAGACAAATATTGCACTGAATAATGTAATTCTAATATGGCAACGACTAGTCTAGTCCTAATACGGCAATGACTAGTCTATTCCTTATAAGACTACGACTGGTCTAGTCATAATATTGCAACGACTAGTTTAGTTAAAACATGGCAACGACTAATCTAGATAAATATAGCAATGAATAGTCAAGTTAAAACATGGCAACGACTAATCTAGATAAATATGGCAAGACTAGTCAAGTTAAAGCATGGCAACGACTAATCTAGATAAATATAGCAACGACTATTCCAGTCCAAACATGGCAACGACTAATCAAGATAACTATGGCAACGACTAGCCTAATTTTAACATGACAACAACTATTAATAATATAGAGGACAAAGTTTACAGCCTCACCAGCGGCATAAGCAGCCACATCCTCTCCGCTGTGCAGGGACTCCCCCATCTTTGTGGGCACAGTTGCAGGGAACATGTAGGACGCCGCGCGGGTGTCCACACCTGATACGTTCGCTCTCACAACCTGGAAATATCTTAGCAATTATAGATTTTATACCAAAATTTGAATGGTTAATAAGAAGAATTTAATCGTTGTATTCAGGGGTCTCCAGCTCCGGTAAATTGCACCTAAGGAAAAATATATACATTTATTGGGAGACGGGAGTTAGCACTCCACTACAATGCGCTGAGTAGAGCCGGCATTACCCTCGTCATAGCTAGCTTGTACCGCCTGCAGGACTGATTGTTGATCTGTATTGGCCTTAGATTTACTTTTTCCCATGATTATTGTTAAACATATAGCCGTGCATGGTAACATGCGTTTGCCGATATTTTATCCTGTGAAACCAAGCTGCATTAGCCCTAAACTTGAGTAGTACGATTATAATATGCTTGTACTATGTATACCGAAGAGACCTTGCCTACAATTTCAACGCTCTACCAGAAATAACGTGCAAGAAAGTACAACGATATATGAACCTGCATCTACATTCTAAAACGCACTGCAGTCTGAATGGCAGATTGCCCCCGTGGTTACACAGCTCAAAGTGCCAAGATTGGAGCAGTGAGTTACGGGTACGAGACCAAGCCAACTGTAAGTAATTTGCGATGTCTGGAATCGACGATATGCCAAATTTTGCCTCTTAAGGACTGATACCCCTATTACCATTATCATAAATTTTTCCTATAGCCTCATAAAAGTATAAAGAATTGAGTCGTACTTTAGTGCCATCATAGGAGTAGTTGAAGCCTGGTCCAGTGGTGAACAGGAGTGTCGTGTGGGGCATGTTGTCGGCAATGCCCTCTTCGTAGAATGTCGTACCTGTATTGAAAACACATAAAAAGAGTTCATTAAAATTCACATTAAATGAATTCATTGCAAAGAGTGCCGATCATATGGTGGTCACACGAAAGACACGTATTATAACAATAAAATACTACAGTATGTTGGGCAACATAGATTTTAATAAAGCCCTACATGCCAATCATGATATATACATTGGTACTTTGATTACTGACTACCACCCATTCCGGACCTATGGTTGAAAATTACATAAATTTTTAAACCAAGTAATTTACCAAATAGTATAAACATTTAACAAAATAGGCGTTTCCGAACCGCAAAACCGTAAATTTGTAGCTATTTCCAGCACAACTTCTCCACTGGTACCCTCAATTGATCACGGGATGAAGCAGCTTATATTTTTCTTCCTCCATTTGTGAAACTGTAGATTTTTATCTGCGTTGCTCATTTTGCAATTGATTAACAATTTTTCTCAATCATTTGATATTCAAGGTACAACTATGACGATTTCTCCCTCAAGATTAAAAACAAGTGCGAACTGAGTGTTCTATAGAGAATCTCAGTAAATAAATACAGCGGAATAATCATAGGTGAAAATTGTGCATAGGTGTGGCTTGAGGGAATTCATTGTCTCAATGTCTCAGTTAAACTCTCAAAATTTAATTTCACTTAATTTCACACTGCCTCTTATGTTTGAACCATAAGACAAAAATGTTTCTCCGAATAAAAAAGTTGCTAATGCTGAAATTATGAATGCCTCACTTCAATTCCGGCATTTGTAGTAAATCGTAACAATGGGGAAATGATGCACCCAAATATCGTTGCTCCATTCAAGGTACCTGTTTATAGTAAGACCGTGGCAGTGCATGGTTGGCCGCCTCTGCGATGTGTTTAATAAAGAAATCTAAAAAATCTACATGCCTCAGTACAGTACGGAGATTCGAAATGAATTTTTGGCAAGGGACAAAATAAGCAATTAAAATATCGTTGTTCCGGTCAGGTAGCCGTGGATGGTATTGCTGTTGTCGTGCTGGGACGGCTGACACTACGACGGGTTTAATTTTCACATCTAAACGATATCCCTTCAGTTCATTGCTGAGATTTACATTGAATAATAATCAAGGGACAAAACCAGACCCAGAATATCGTTGCCGCGGTCAGGGTAGCCGTTGATGGCGAGGCCGTGACTGTGGTCGGCCGTGACGATGACGAGCGTCTCGTTGAGGTCGACGAGTCCCAGAGCCGTGGCGACGGCCGCGTCAAACGCCAACATTTCCTCCAGCGCCAACTGGGCTTTGCCGTCGTGCATGGCGTGGTCGATACGTCCGCCTTCAACCTGGAGAAATATAACTCAGATTGGAAGTGCAGCAATAAAACATTGTTACTAATACTTGAACGGATTCAATATCTCTCAGCTCACAATCTTCCAACCGACAGTAAATTAAATCACATAACAATAGTTAACAAAACTGTCTATGTTAATTGAAATTAGCCTTCTAAATTTTTGGCGAACAAAAGGAAGCAACTGACGATCAGAAAGTAGCCTTTCTTTGCTCGGTCGAGTCGTCTGATGGCAGTAGCGACGAGCTCGCTGAGGCTCGGCTCGCCGGCCTCACTGACGTCACGGTTGCGCTCGTACGACATGTGGTTGTCTGCAAACAGACCTGCGCACGCCATGCCATCATGGTTGATGAATTGAAAAGTTACAAAGATGCCAGCGTTCACGTGAATATTTCTATAAACGTAGCATGGTTATCATGAACAAGAAGCACGAAACGGCTTAGTGTCAGAAATAATGCTGTTAATGGACATCGTTTATTAGAAAACCGCAAGAATAAAATTACTCAGATTGCGCATTCATTCGAATACAGAACATGATATAGTCACGAAAGTTCTTCGGACGCTCAAAAATGTTACGTACAAGGCAAAACGTACCTCATCACGTGTATAGGACACCTCGTACCTAAAATGAACTCAGTATTGTTAATGTCGACGTCTTTGAGCTGCCGTGTGTTGGTGACGTAGGCGTAGGAAGCGTTCTCGCTCTGCCGTCTCTCCTGCCACTTGAGCGCCAGGTTCTGTCCGTCCAGCCGCCGGCAGGAGGTGGTCGTTGAGTTGGTTAGCGGCGCTCCCATGGCTTGCCGACCACCGCCAAATATCACCTACGGTTTAAACTCGCTTTCAACGTCCTGATTTCATTGCAAACCAAAGTCAATTGAGATGAATAGTTGCATGCACAAATCAGCTTCCCATAGAATATCTTGGTTTTAGTGATCTGAGGGTTAAATATCTGGTATTCCGGATGCCTTCAATAATTCGGATAGTATCGTGAAGCCTGAGTCACGATACTATTCGATCAACAAATATGAGATTATTTAAACATTGTAGCCAAGTCGTGGCTAGCAATGATTCGAGGACGATACCTGAAATCTTTCTTGCTTGTTTTAATCGTCAACATGAGTCTTTCCAGATAAAAATTTTAATCGATTTCATATTACATGGGAAATAAAATTTTTTTCTTATAAAAACATGTAAAAGTATTAATCCATTCGTCTAAATCTTCAAATTGAACAATATTATTCCAGGACTATAAGAACAATATATTGAGTACATATCACACCTTCAAGCTCATGCCGGGCTCATCTTCCACCAGCTGGCGGGCGATGTCCTTGCACTGCATAACTGAAGGATCGGCCTCCTCCTTCATCTTGGCGTCGCACTCCCACTCGCGCTGCGCTGATGAGGCGTACGCAGCTCCAGGAGTTGCGTGAGTGATGCGTGTGTTCGTCACGAGGCCTTCCGTTCCAATGGTGATGAAACAAAAAGTGCTTGATTAGTAGGGGGTTAGATTAGTAAGAGTTGTAGCATAACAACCCTGCAACTCCTGGTCATCAAGCTGCCCGGATTTTAACGGATTTATAGTACTATGTGTTTCTATTATCACCTGTGACAAACGCCGGTCATTCACAAGAATTTATATTGAGAAAGAAGTTTCTAAATAAAGTTCATCAAAGACCTCTAAAATACGATCATATTTTTCTGACCTGACGCAACCTCGATCTGGGAAGCCCTTATCATAGATAATATAAGATGGTGCTGTCATCACCTGTTTCTTTGCCGGTATAAGATGGTGCTGTTCTACGTATCTATCACCAGTATAAGATTGTGCTGTTATCACCTGTTTCTTTGCCCTGCTCCTGCGCCCAGGACAGGATGGACTTGGGTCGGTTTTCTGGAAGCAAAGAAGCGGCGCAGTCACCGGCTTTGACCGCGGCCGTCACGCCAAGGGTGTAGAAGTTGCCTTTGGCGCCAGACAAGAAAGCTGTGGCAGCGGCTGCACTGTCTGCCACTTGCTTATCCACGTTGTATGTCTGCAGAATTTCATTGTCTATCAACTTCTCAAGCTCAACATCAATCACTTTTACCGATTTCAACTTGATTTATTCCTGCTTCAAATATTAATTATATATTATTTTATCTGTCAATTTTTTCCCGACGAATTGAGGCTGACTGGCTAAAAAAAATATTTTTTAAGAGTTCTTCAAAATAAACATCGATATCCCGTGTAAGGGAGTTATATTACATCAAGTTGTCGTTTGCTGATTGAATATGATTTATAAATTGTAATTTCCTGAGTAGAAAATTTCCTTTCATACCTTAAGTAGAGCCATGTTAGGGAAGCGTTCAAATGACAAATATCCTTCTTCTCCGGACTTCCCATGTTTCTGGCCTTTGAAAATGCGACCAGCAGTGACAGTGGAAATTCCCATGCCTGGGAAATTAAAAGATCAATGTTATATTAAAAAATCGTTTACGTTGATCAATTTAAAATTTATACAGCTTTATTAAATGAAGAAAAAATAGGCTGTCAACGGAAAGAACAAAATATTTTTTTGTGATTTCATGAAACATATTTCAAAATATATAATAATGCAGCGAGGTAAATGTGAACTAGTTAGATGAGAACGAAAATTTGCGCAATTGAAGCTGGCACAAAATTGGAAACATACTATGAATTAATTTAAGACCATTATTGATAGGTATTTACTTACGCTAAATAAAAAATATATTTTTTCGCGTCATTAAAATAACTTTCTGACTTTTGATTTTTTAACCATGAATTTTGAAAGTATCGAGTAAATTGAACTTTAGATAGCAGAAATTTTGACACATGTACGAAAAAATGTAATAGCAATTTACATTAATCGAATGTGCATTAGCTTATCTAGACGTCGAAACTGCTAGTTTTTCAAAACTGAGATTGGTCGTACATAATATTGCGTACTAAATCTAAATCCAGTCTCTTCTAACCCTTGGGTCAACTGATCCTATAGATCGTTCTAATCCTGTGTCGATCGATTCACACACGAGCAGCATTAAAGTGGGTATATCATATAATATATCAGCGGCCAATAAAGTCCTCAGAACTCACCATCACCCAAGAAGAGCACCACATTCTTGGCCAGCTTCGTGTTCTGAGTGCGCTGTAGTGCTTCATTTATGTCCTCAACGCCCAGCTTATACCAATGATGTGCATCTGGGGTAAGATCAGCCCGATTATTACCCACCAAGCAAATAAAGCTGAAATAACGTTCATCTAACGTTGATTTAACGAAACAACATTTATTTTGACAGTTATTCGACGGCAAATGTCTGGTGGGAAGGTTCTACGGACGCAAAAAGTATGCTACGTTTAAATTTGACTAAATGAGATTGATATTTTACATACGAAAATTCTATTTTTTATGTAGGCAAGTGCAACGTAATTACAGTTACGTTGCACTTGAAGGGAATACCGTCAAGGGATCACGAGGCAACGTGTATACTCCGTTTCTATTGGCGACGTCAAGGGCAGAGATATATATACTCACGTAGCTCATCGGGGTCGATGGCACAGGCAGCAAGTGTGGCTAGCAACAGGAGTAAAGATGCTGGCATGAAGCCCGGTCGACGCCCAGATAGCACGTACCAAACTCTCATTATGGCTATTCACTGATGAAAAAAATTAGACCGGCTGACTGTTCAAGATGAAGCGAAGAATAAAGAGAAGGGAGTGAACATTGTTGAAAACAGACATTATCAGTGTGATGAACACACAGAGAAAATGTTCAGTGCAAACAGATGCATAATTGCATTGCTGAAGCAACGTTGACCAATCGTGTTACGCGGAAATATTGAAAATGAAACAATATCATAGTGAATAAAAATGCTCATTGCTTCGGTGCAGTGCAAGTACGATTATTGCATGTGATACGATAACAAATTCTGGACTTTTTCTCAAAACATAATTTAACAAAAAGGGTCATAAGCATGCTTAACAAACAGATCAAACTTATTTTATGGAGAGTTAGACTCAGACCAATAGTTCCTCAAATCAAGAGTTAGCCTCACAAGCAAGGCATCCAAGATGAAAGCTGTAAAGTGTAAAGTGTTACTGTGCCGATGTTATTCTAGTCGCAATCCCCTTTTCAAAGAGAATTTACACAACTACAAATATTACATAATGAAATTTTTTTAGATGTAGTACGCCTATCTTAATTTTTTTGGGGGTACATCCTCACATAACATTCACTATAAAAGGGAGGTCTAAATTCAACGTTCAGGCCAAGCCTAACAATTTCACATCGAACTGGTCCTCCGTTTCCAGTACGCGCAGATTGGGCTGGAATTACTTACAAAGAAGCTCGTCATCTTAATGCGTAATACTACGACTGGATACTTAAGTATGGTGGGGTAATATGCCCAGCAGTCACGTATTTCTAAGTAAATAAATACATGTCCAGACGATCATTTAGAATACTTATCAGACGAATACCGAGGAGCTCTACTGCGTGGAGGCACTGCAGGAGTGAGGTCCTCGATCGTCGAGAAGTTACGCACTCCGGCGCTTGACTTCAAAAAGTTTTATTTATAGCCCAACTGAACGGAAGTGCACAAATGCACGGATAATCACCAGTTAGTTTTCCATTGTATGACCACATCTAACCAAATAATAGTGCAATTATGCATCAATAAGTGTCCCGAACAATAAGGTTTGGAAAGTTGGATTACTACATTCGAGTTTACCAGTGTTACGATAGTATAAAAAAATAAAGTCGTATACAGCCGCATTTACTGATTAAATACGCAAGTTAAGTATCACTGAAGAGAAACTTCTTCTTTGCTATACACGGAATTACTTACCAAGTAACAATAACTTGCCGAAACTTTGTCGTCCAAGCGTTGGTGTGTTATCAAGGGCTTCTGGAGCGTATCATAGAGGAAGCTGTCAGTATTGTCCGCGCTATTGTTGACGATGAGGCTTTTGCATCGCAGGTAATTTGAACAATCAAAGGAAAAATTTAGGTACACGAGAGGCTTGTGTTGGGAACTTGATTGGTCTACAAATCGTGTCCATTGACGGCTCCTACTACATAAAGGAAGCCATCAATGTTCTCTACTTATTTATATTTAAATTTATATGAAGTAATTGTGTATTTAAATTTATATGAGCTAAAAATTGGCGCCCCAAGCATGAACGCGTTCAAGAACAGACTAGATAAAGCTATGGAAAAATATATGTTCAGATTTGAAATGCCTAGCTCCTTATCGAACCCGGTGGAAGTCTAGTAGCTACTTCAAACTATCGCCAGTCATGAAAAGATCCGGTCAAATGACACGAGTTTAGATCTATGAACAAGGCACGAAAAGGAAAAGAATAGGCGACAGGCCACATCAGGCCTACACTTCAGCGCCGACATCACTATGTTATGTTATGTTAATGGTTTTGGCAAATAGGGTTTAAGCTATGCTTTTTTTAAAAAATTAGCTCGCAGAACTAAAGCTCACACACGCACCGTAGAGAAGGGGATCCACTGATGTTCTTTCCTACTAACTTAGTCGAAAAAAATGCATTGGCTTGACAACAAATGTCCAAGTTGTGTTAGGTTATAATGTTCGCTAGTGAGAACCCGGATTATCGCATGGTCCTTCATTGAGTCCCAAGATTTCGTAATCGGGAAATAAAATTTCAGATGAGCGACGTCTTCCCGACCGTTCTTCGCAAAGTGGCCTGGCTTCTGGTAATTATAAGTTTATAATACATATGGATTTTCTACTGTGGCATTAGCCTGACACTCAAATATTCTAGTGCAAGCAGGATCGCTCCCTGCTAATTTTATTTTATTTTGTTCCTCTGACTTCAACATGGGCTTGCGGCGCTATTATTCAAGACGACATACGTTCCCCATTCAGTTCCGAATGATGACGCACCAACATATCGTTGCTGCAATGGGTTTACAAATTTTTTTAGCAAATTTCCCCCTCATACTTGTTTCGGTTTAGACTATTTCGGATGTGCTTTCTTCCTGTTTTAGAACAGGAAATCTGATGGCTCACTTGGGGAAAATCCATGCTAACGCCAAGGTCGAAAAGTAACTCTGCGGCCGCCACCCAATTAATGAGGCCATTACTAATTGGCTTCACTGTTTACTACCTAACACACGGTGATGGTATTCTGCGACTGTAATTGCCGACCGTGTGGTACTGGATTATAAGAAGTTTGGGAACAACTGCTGCTTATGACTGTAGGCTCACTTACCCCACCATGCAATACATGTCACATGTGATGGGGTAAGCATCCTGTTAGGGACCGCCTTTAAATATAATAATTTCATAGATAGTTAGGTTACATATTTTGTCATTTTGTTTTTGAGTTAACTATTACATCACCTCGTGTAGACCCGCCCTGTATCTTGTTGTTGTTGTTATGTGATCCACCACGGAGCGAGGTTCCGAACCTAGGACATGATTAGGAATTAATAAGCAAAGGCTAGCAAGACACACGGTTTATAGTTTTGTAGTTTGTTTTCTTGTATTTATCGTTCGTTTATTATTATGGGTTTTCATTCATTATTTTTATTTATCCTTTAAAAACGATCACTGGTCAATTGTTTGGGGTCAGAGAAAACCTATTCATTGATTAGTCCCCAACATAATGGTGCCGTGCCAGTACATAGCAATCGTACCTGGGTAAATGTTTCGAAGATAAAGTAACGTAAAGTAAAGTAACGTAAAGTAAAGTAACGTAAATTAACGCAAAGTAAAGTAACGTAAAGTAAAGTAACGTAAAGTAAAGTAACGTAAAGTAAAGTAACGTAAAGTAAAGTAACGTAAAGTAAAGTAACGTAAAGTAAAGTAACTTCAAGTAAGTTAAAAAATTTAACGTTCATGATACCGTATGTTTTCGGAGCCTTGTCTCTTGTAGTGGTTCCCCGAACGCGCCTGACAGCTGATCACTGGACTTGGCGAATTCGTGTTGCTTGTTGCCCGCACGATCTACCGTTTTGAAATGGCAAGTGGTCGCGGCCGAAACTGTTCTGCGTCTTTTCGAAAGGAAGAGCTTGATTTCGGCCAGGAAAATCTAGATCATTTTACAAGGTTTTTTACGCGACTCGTGCTCAGGGAGAGTTCTTTGCCAAGCAAATGCCAAGACACATTACGTCAATTCAAGAACAGTCGGGCGCCATATTTCCAGAACGGCCAATTAACGCCGAAGGATAATTTGTACGTAAAGAAGATTCGTGAAGAAAAGTTGCATGAATTTGCAGCCCAGTGCGCGCTATCGAAAGTCAACGTGTCCCGAAGCCTTATCCGACATGAAAATTCTCGTTTTCGTCCCCAACCATCGGGAGCGCTGTCCGAGGCAGAAGAACCACGAAGGATGAAAAGCACCCACGGAGCACATCGTAACGGCCAAAAGACACCTAAGGACCAAGATCTTGTTCGAACATCCGGTTCTGGGGAAAACCTTTGTGATTGCTGTGGACGCGCCGGTCACGTGAGTCGTGAATGTCGTGTATGGTTAAAACAGTGTTTGATTTGCGGCTCTGCAACCCATTTTTTACGGAAATGCCCTAGCGCGTGCTAAAGCGTTGACTAATCGACCGAACGCGTGCTAAAGCGTTGACTAATCGACCAGCGTCTCGGACAGCCAACTCTCGTCAAGTTCCAGAACACTTAAATTGTGTAGCCGTAAATTTGGCTATGGGCTTTTATGAAGAAGATCTGATGAAAAATTTTGCTATGACAAGCAATGCCGATTTTTCGTTGCATGATATGAGTACGACTGTACGAGTGACAGTGGATACACTGTTATAGCGAGTGACATGATTGACTGTGCCAGCGAGCGCAAGGCAGGTGATTTCCTAGATGAAGTGTCAACTTATGAACGTGTTCCTAAACGAATGAACAGCGATGATCTACTTAAGGATTTCTACGAATTGAAAGCTAAATATAATCTTTTTTGGCACATTTCAAGACCTGGAAACAGAATCTGTTTCAGAACATCGGTCTCTAACCATCGATGAGAAAAGTTCCCACTTGAGAACTTGCACTTGGTGGGGGGTGATGTAAAGCCTTTAAATATAATAATTTCATAGATAGTTAGGTTACATGTTTTGTCATTTTGTTTTTGAGTTAACTATTACATCACCTCGTGTAGACCCATGGTGTAGACCCGACCCGCCCTGTATCTTGTTGTTACGTGATCCACCACGGAGCGAGGTTCCGAACCTAGGACATGATTAGGAATTAATAAGCAAGGGCTAGCAAGACACACGGTTTATAGTTTTGTAGTTTGTTTTCTTGTATTTATCGTTCGTTTATTACTGTGGCTTTTCATTTCTTATTTTTATTCATCCTTTAAAAACGATCACTGGTCAATTGTTTGGGGTCAAAGAAAACCCATTTATTGATTAGTCCCCAACAATCCACCAGTATAATTTACTCTGCTTGTTGTGGTTCAACGCACCTGAATTTTATGAGTATGTTTTGAATAATAAAAGAGCTCTCAAAAAGGTTTTCGAGCATATTCGAATTGTTCAGAAACATAAAAATTGTTTATGGCAAAATTCTCGTTGTTTTAGGTAGAACTTGGCAAAAAGTGTGAACGATCTTCATGACGAAGTATCGACATCATAAATTTGCAGTAGACGAGTTGAAATATAGATGAATATGCATCATTAAGGTGTTTCCAATTTTGGGTTAATTTGTATTACAGACCTTCTAAAGTTTTCAATAGGTGTACTTCATTTATATAGCTATGGCAGAATTTGTTCTTTTAAGGGAGCATGTACGACATAAAAAAAATTTTAAGGACGGATCATTTTGAAATTTTGTTCACATATATAAAATAGAAATCCAAGTTTTTTCTCAGAATAGATAGAAATCTAATAGAAATCTAGGACAGAAAAAAGGAGGTACTGTGCAAATACTGTGAACTCCTCATCCAATTAACGTGCTGCAACATCGAAAGACATATCATTCGATTCGAGAAAACCATCTCTAGTAATCATCCGAACACTTTTTCCATTTTTTCATTAATTTTTTGTGATCTTTTTTATTTTTTCAACTTTATATTCTCTATTTCTTTCTACTCCCCTTTTTAATATATAATCCAAACAAAAAATAAATCAAAATAAGTGACCTGATGATTGCTAGATCGGTTCGTTATGAATCGAATGCTGTAGCTTGAAAATCATGGAGATAAGTTTTTACGATGAAAATTCCATTTTCAGAAGAGCCAAAAAACTGAAATTTGTGATCATTGAAGGTACAGGTTTTATCCGCTGCCTGGCACTGGATCCCTAACGAACAATTGAACACACAAACATGGCTTTGAGCTCCTTACACGCGCAGTTGTTGGACGTTTAAAATGAACCTAAAAACCGGAAAAGTCAAAATTTTTTTTATTTTGACGTACATGCTCCATTTAAACCGCTTTTATTGAAGACCAGAAAATTTGTCTTCATCCACTTGTCCAAAAATACATCTTTATCCTAGACCTTAAGTATAAATTCTGAATAAAAATAGAGAGATGCAGTGACCTTGTTCTAGTTGAAGGTCAAAGAAGTCGACTGAGGCACACAAGGACGGCTGCATTTGGGCGGCGCGATAGCCGCGATATTCGCTCTCGTATAGCCGCGGGATTTGGCAAGCATACATTGTCCCTTGAACTGTGCTAGCGAATGCTCATAGTCAACGTTCGTCTGGCTAAGAAATCTTTTTTGCTTGTGCATTTTGTGCCTTTAATCTCAAATTTTACAGCGTATTAGAACATTTCCGTTACCATATTGTTGTAAGAGATACCAGATGCCATCGAAACCGGTTAGCCTACCAGATCTGATGGTATCCGGTCTCGGTGGTGATGTTAGATACACGCTTATATGGTTTCTTCGTGTGAAGGCAGCTGCCGTTCAACCGTTGTGTAGTTAACCGATCAAGTTCTTTTTGATGATAACAAAATCTTTAATATCAATTATATCAATAGCCCGATTTTGATCTTATTTTATGCTCAAATTTGATTAATCAGGCTCTCTTTTCCGGGTTTCAAGAAACAAATATCGTTTTCCTGTGCTTTAGATAAACTTTTCATTGATTGTCCTGTATGTATTATTAACGATATATTCAAGAGAATTCTTTGAGTGGTGCTTTCCCAATACATAGTTCATTTGTATATGTTTGGAATATAATTATAGTCTAATAAGTCTGCCAATTTTGCACTCCACCTACTTGACGTTTGGTAGACGTTGAACAATTGCAAAATTAAACAGTAATATTCAAGTTATTTTTACTAACACAGCACTCGACACTATCACTTCAGTTGCTTTGCATTTCTCTTCAGTAATTCAGTTGCAGAGGCCATGGAGAAGCCAAAAGTTTTAGTCACGAGATGTGATGTTCCAGAGCCCGCTTTGAAGAAACTACGAGACCTGTAAGTCCATTCACTGTCATTGTACTACTACTTTTTCGATGCAGATTGTTCTTTTTGTTCTTATCTATTTAATAATTGAATTTTCTGAAGCGTAAACCGTAAATCTAACACTGAAACTCATTTTATGAATTATTACAGGTGTGAAGTGGACATTTTTGAAGGTGCTTATCCGATTCCTCGCGACCAACTCAAGGCCAGAGTTGCAGGAAAAGATGGACTGTTTTGTTTCCTCACAGACCCCATCACCCCCGAAATATTGGACGCCGCAGGTAAGTGATATTGATTGTTGTTTTTTTTTTCATCGTATATAATTATGAGACTCAAGTACTTTCAGCCGCAGATCACTTGTTATGTTACTAACTTGTGTTATTTAAAATACCAGCCAGAAAATTATTCGAAATTATAACGAATTTCCCACGATTCAATCACTGGTACTTGGTACAAACAACACATTTGTTGATCTCAGTAGGTAATATAAAAAATATAGTTCAGGCGTAGATGCAGTCAACCCAAAAGCAAACTAATATCCTGCTTTTCTGCAAACAGGAAGTTCGCTGCGTTCGATCAGTACGATGTCTGTGGGTTATGATCATCTCGATATTGAAGAAATGACAAAACGAGGAATCAAAGTAAGACAGTCTGGCGGGCTTGTCGCATACGACCACTATACCTTCAAGTTCCATTTCTTCAAAACCCTACTTACATCCAAATCCCACTAACTTCAAAAACCTAAAAAAATTAAGGAATGATTTTTTTCACATAAATCAATCACATAAATAATTGTTTCCATCAATCAATCAAATAGTTTATGTACAGTAGTCTGTACAAAATAATCTTGGGTAGTTACTGAATATCTTTCACTCACGTGGCGGCTGGGAAGTTTCGAAGTATTATCTCTTGCTTTAAAACCTTTTGCAAATTTTAGTTTATTTTAGAAAGAAATTTGTTCCGTAAATTCTCTTATATTCAAGTAGAAATCCTGCTTCATGTTAATTCATCTTTTGTTGGAAACCGAAGCTCAAAGATATCACTCTTCACTATGGCAGATTTGAGGCTTCACTATAGCATATATGAGACCTCACTATGGCAGATTTGAGGCTTCACTATAACATATATGAGACCTCACTATGGCATATATGAGGCTTCACTATAGCATATATGATACCTCACTATGGCAGATTTGAGGTTTCACTATAGCATATATGATACCTCACTATGGCAGATATGTGGCTTCACACTACGTTGTATGTTCTTGGTCAGGTCGGCCACACGCCGTTCGTGTCGACCGACGCCGTGGCAGAGCTGACGGTGGCGCTGCTGCTGGCCACCTCGCGGCGCCTCCTGCAAGCCAACGCTGAGATTACAAAGTTCGAGACCCTCTGATACAGCCAGCTGTGTTTAATACAGCAGATCCGTGCAGGGCTTCAGGCAATGGATTTCATATTCAGTCTGTGAAATTGTAGTTGTTCAGTTCCGCAATTGTTTCAACAATAATTGGAAATCCAACAATTTTAAAATTTTATAACAAACCAACAAGCAGGAATGCATACTTTATATTCATATTTGTCATTTATTAACGTATATATTAGCATGTCTATCGTACTTGGCACCATCAATAGTTATTTAGCCATATTATGTATTAAATCATAGCTGACATTGCATGTTACAGGTAATGAATTGATGTTTAGAATTGTTTGTTAAGTTTGACTTGTGTCGTTTGACTCGCAGTGGAGGCTGGGCTCAGTGCGTGTGGGGCCCCGTGTACATGCTGGGCAAGGGACTGACAGGGTCGACGGTGGGAATATTCGGTCTTGGGAGGATTGGTCAGGCTGTGCTCAAGAGACTCAGTGGCTTTAGTGTTGCCAAGTTCCTCTACGCGGACTTCGTGGAGCAAAAACTTGGTTTGTTTTGACTCATGAAATGGCGTGTATCTATTATTTCTCTCTTTTTTCCATGATGTACACGGATATAAATCATGCAATGGTAATGATGTTCAGAATTTTTCTAATTTTTTCTAGCAAATCGAAATACGAAAAAAGTTTTGCTGAAAGTGTTTTTTGGATTTTTACTAATCAACTTCCATGGTGCAATCCATTTAAATTAATTAATGGTAAATGTGGTCTGCTCAGACAGCAGTTTCCCTCCGGCCGAGTTTGTGAGCTTCGAGCGACTGCTCCAGGAGAGCGACTTCGTTATTTGCATGGCGTCACTGACTGACCAAACGCGTGCCAAGTTCAACAAGGAAGTCTTCACCGCCATGAAGAACTCGGCGGTCTTTATCAACGCGTCCAGAGGAGGTCAGATCAGAGATGATATATGTTAGGGAATCAAAATCCTGGTGGCTTTCGTGAATAATTTACCTAGGAAATTCAATGAGATAATTTGTGGCTGGTAATTTTCAGAGTATATTACGGACTTGTTCTTTACTTCGACAGAATAAAGTATCCATTTGCGACATCAATTAATATACGCAAAATATCTATTATTTGTACTTAAAATTCAGTATATTATTTTGCACGCACAGGGCTTGTAGACCAAGATGCGTTGGTCTGGGCCCTACAAACAGGCCAGATCTGGGCCGCTGGTCTGGACGTGATGAACCCAGAGCCTCTGCCCGCCGACCACGTCCTCAACACCCTCCCCAACTGCAGTGAGTTGAACTCGATGACTGTCGTGGCAGACCTTTCGATACAATTGTCACTGAAGATGGTTAATAAGTGCGTTGAATTTTAGTTTCGACATCATTACGTAGAATGAAAACGGATGACAAGCCATTTTTCCGTAACATGGACACTGCACAATTTTAACAGCAATTTGTTAACTTGACAATGTTGGAAGATATCTTAATAAAATTGGTAAATCGGAGCGGAATTTGGTATCGAGAAAATTGCTGTGAAAATTGTGCAGTTCCTAAAATCGACGATAAGCCCAAAACTTTTCCAATCTTCAACGCTAACAACACTATATCATACTAATACTATTATAGAAATTCCTCACCTTCAACCCGTAACCACCGTAACCTATTATATAACGAGAACACCACTACACCAAGCTACTACTTCTACTATATAATTTGAGCTCCACTATACCATATTAATACTACTATATAAAGAGAAAAATGATGTTTTTCAAGCAACAAAAGAACCATTACACCGTTGCTATGTTTTTTTCTTTTTGCAGCGTTGTTGCCACACATCGGCAGCTCAGTGGAGAGCGCGCGCTTCGCCATGGCGGAACTTGCTGCGGACAATCTTATTGGAGGCCTCTTCAAAGACAAACAAATGGTCCATTCTGTCAACTAAACTATGTTAGCTGTCAATCGGGACCATCGCAACGGGCCTGTCAGCAACGGTGCCCATAATAAAGGCCGAATTATCAGTACCGGCGATGAATGTTAGCAGAATTATTTTCCGCCATTCGAGGGCTGCTTCGCTACACTCAATATAACTCTATATTTCCCTGCTTAACGCCATTTGTTTATAGCTTTTATCTTTTTAGTCCCTTTTAGTTGTTTACTGGTCTGACCCTACTAATCCCCTACTAACGCCTGGAGTTAGCTGGTAAAACCCTGCTAACTCTTAGATAACGATAACAGTAGTTCACTTGTCTTACACTATTAAGAAACCCTCTTCCAACGACAAAAGATGTTCAGTTGTTTGGCACTGCTGATCTTTTCCGAACGCCTTGAGTTGTTCACGGGTCCAACTTTGTTAACCCATATATAACGCCAGCAGTTGTTAATTGATATATACTTTTGTTAATCACTTCAGCTGATATGAGTCTTTAATTCCTATTGTGAACGTCAATCAACCTTATTTACGTGGCCATTCCAGCGAATACGAACAGAAAATACCAGGGTTCGTAAATTACTGTCTCGCACATCAGATAACCCAGTCGCCAGTAAACATATGATTATGCTAAAACGTGTTTAGTATTAATCCTCTTATCTTCAAGCTGACACAGAAATTTTTCCTCATTAAACACAGAAATTGTGTCACGTAAATTCTTCTTCATTAAACACAGAAATTGTGTCACAGGAATTTTTCCTCAGTAAACACAGAAATTGTGTCACAGAAATTCTTCATCATTAAACTAGCCAAGGAGGAAGTAAGAATAATTATGTCTGTTTGCAAGCTGATTACTCTTGAGGTGACTAGCTATCGCAATTATTCCGAGCAACAGCAGATAAGAGAAGAGTCTTGGGTTCTCAGCCGCATCAGTTGCCTAAGAGAGCTCGTGAACTATAGTCTTATTGTCAAATGATTAGCCTTAATGAAGTCTGGAACAAAACTACCAGTTTAAATCTCAATAAGATATTCGTTAGACAACAGTTTTCTGGCACTGGATGTAAAGAATCTTCTTTGCAGATCCTTCAAATTCTCGGGATAGTAAAAGATCACGCGGTTCCGTGAATCATGATGATTATTGAGCGGTTTCTGAAAACACTACAAAAAAATAGTTTAAGAAATCAATCCAGAAAATCTAAATAATGACTTAATTAGGAGGTAATTGACTGTAAAAATAGCTAATTATTAAGTGCAACCAAATTAGTGGAGGTTCGGCATTCACAAATAGCTCAGTTGACACACGTTTCACTACGAATCGAGCTCGCACAGGTACAGTAAATACACTGGATCATTAGACGTCAGGGTAAAAGTAGTGCGTAAAGTTGCGCAACAAATTATCTATCAAAAATATATTTCCTGGCATGCTTATTGATTCTCAACTGGCAGCCTCATCTTTGGGCCATCAAATTTCTCAAGTTTTCATGTTCATCGCGGTTACTAAATCTCAACTTGTGCACTGAAAAAGTGTAGTCGTACTTACTTGACTGAATCGCATTGGGTAAACGAGAGAGGAGTCTCTAGGGTCACCAATGGCAGTGAATGTGTAAAGACCTTGTCGGAGTCATTTAAGATTCTAACTTTGTTGTATACTTCCCACTATGATCGAACAATTTAATAATATCTAGTTGAATAACAATCTAATGTTTCCAAACTGAAACACTTTCATGCTGAGAGGCCAAGCCGGATTTACTGGTTCGACACTCCTCAAAACTCGTCCGCGAACTTGTATCGTATTCAAACGCAAAACGTAACTTATGCGCAACTGAACAGCTCATAAGAACCTAAATTCTGATCGAAATTGCTTGAAATCCAGAATATAGTTAATTATTAATCAATTTGGATGGCATAATTAACGTAATATGCTCCCTTTTGTTGAATAGAATTAATTTTAATATTGATAATAAATAATTTGTTTGTTTTTAAAAAATTTAAGCTTTCAGTGAAGTTATTTCACATCTTAATCGTGTGCTAACACTCGACCGCACAAGTGTATACTTGGCCGAAAATTCCTAACCGACATTCCTGCGTATTCACTGCGAATGCGTCAAAACTACCGAGTTCCGACCCATTCTCGTTAGTATCTTGCTGAGTCGTCATGTTGAACATTTCACACAGCAAGGCTTACATTTTTTCTTAAGAATCTTGTATTAGGTAAAACAATTGTATTTATCTACCGACAATGCCGGTAACGCACTTGAATCGCCAGCCTTCTATAGAAACGATATATTTCATAAGCAGAACTGCACCACATTTTTCTAGCGTGATTATAACAGCCTCGTAGTCACAATGTGGTATCGAACCATACAAATCGTAGTTCTCATCAGTATTATACGGTTTTCATGCAGTGACGAGCGACGAGATATGCTCAGTTTCCGCTGAGTTGCAAGTTAGGTGTCATTGACGTTACGAGTAAAATTTATTGTAAAAAATTATGGAATGTGTCTGATTCAGCCTACTCCTCAAGGCCAAGTTGGTCGTCTCGACTTCGTCCGTCATGCTATCAGTCTCAACGAAGTTCTCGTGAGTAAAGGAGGATATGGAAATTCAGGGTGGAATATTACAATAGAGAGTGTAGTTCAAGTATAAAACTCTAAACTAAAATTGCCAATGTGTTCGCCAGCAGAACGTGATTTTATGTATTCATATCTCTTTTCATTTCAATAGTCTTTTGCGATAAAACCACTGAATATGTAACGAAAATTTTTGTTGTATAATTGCTTCGATTTTCTTGGTGAACTTTATAAGTACCTCCCTGAACATAAGTGAAGGTGAATGCTCTTCAAATTAGTATTGTTTTTTTTTTTTTGCAGTATTGAACTGCTTCTATTCAAGAAATTTTCAGCAACTATACAGCATATCAGTTAAACATGGTAATCATCGGGGGCACTTATTATCATGAGAGGGATGAAAATATCGATGAACTTCTCTCCAAGTTGGGTGAGTCTAGGAGGCATCTACTAAATGCGCTACTCATTAAGATTCGTTTGAACATTTCGCTCCTCTGGTATTGCGTGCATCAAAAGTTGTTCGCATGATCAATGCCATTGAATTTTCTGCTGCACTTACTGGACTTGCTAGTGTAAAAAGAGGTTACCATGGCAGACAAATGATTTGGTTCGGTCGTTAACATTTATAATTAATAATATTTTTATATTCCAGATATCAACTTCATCTTGAAACGAATTGTAAAAATGGCTCCAACCATGATCCTCGAAGTTCCTGAAGATCCCAAAGGAACGTTTGTCCTGCGCGTGAAGGTGATGCTGAAAACTATGGAATGGACATTCAAACTTGGAGAACCCACGGAATTTTCGTCGCCATTAGGGTCAAGGCTAGTAAGAACTCTAAAATTTATCCATTCAACTTATTAATGCCAAATCTTTCTCTTAACAAACCTATAAACAAAAAAAAAACATCTTTTCCTAACAAACCCTCGAAATTCTTGTCTGATGAACTTGTATATTTTTCCGCACAATTAATTGAAGTAATAGTCAATGTCTTCAGGCAATATATACTCGTTTTTATCAATTTTGCTCTGCATCTTGTCTCGAAAGTATTGACATTTCATTTAATTTCGTGCAGGTCGTGTTTACCGAAGAGGACGGAAATCTGGTGCAGCGCTCACTGGGACCTACAAGCGATGGCACTACGAGCATTCGAGAGTTCACCGAACACGGCATGATCATAGTGAGTTTGGTAACCGCCGTAAGTGAACTATATTTATATAATAATACTATGCAAGTACAATAATGAATGTGACTCTAGATGCATGAATATTTAAGAATTTTAACACCATCAACTCCATTTTGTATTCGGTTTCCTTCGATATGGCTGCTGAAAGGAAATATAATGATGAAAAGACATGGAGGAGTTGCTCCGAATTTTCTCACAATAATTATTGACTCTGTGGCCCAAATAGTCTTTTGAAAATTTCAAGTAGGATCCCAAATTAGTTATAAAATTTCTATATTCCAACTTGGTACGTGATTAGCGTACTTGTTCATGATAATTGTGATAATCACTGATAATTGATTAATTGTTCATGATAACTTTGACGTAATGCCCGTAACTTTGACCATTCATTAATACAATACATTTCAAGCTTCTCATGCCCTACCACATTTATGTTAAAAGGCATAGCTATTTAGATAATATATAACTATGTAATGAATAACGCCCCTGAATCTCTATTTTTTGTGCAGACTCTCATTCACGAAGAATCTCAAGTAAGAGCAAAACGATTCTTCAAAAGAGCATAAATGACACAGAGTCGTAATACATACCATTCAAAACGCAACTTAATTGTTACTATGGACGTTGAGAGTGTGACGTCATTTAGGCTGCAAGCTCTGACGTAACCCCAGGCTCCCAGATCCCAAATAAGGTTATATTCGTCTCGCAGCAGAACATGTGACAAACCCTATATTAGTTACGCCATGGTTCATAGAAGTTACGCTTGACTCAGAGTCACCTGCTCATTTTTTCTTACCAGAAGCAATGATTCTCAAAAGCTCGCATATGTTATGCAAACATATGTCGTAAAATTCAATTCTCACTTCAGTGCCAGGTAAATAAACTGATCAAGTCCGGGTTACCGCTGCAGCAATGATGATATCTTTTATTTCTTAACTTGAGAAGGCGGTCGTATTTTAACATCCAACTACCGTTGAAGCAGCGTCTGCTGATTCCACCGACCTTGAGATATTCAACTTGTTCGACCACTCGACCATCAAACCTCTGTCCCAGCTTTAAATGTATTGTTGTTTAATGTATTGTATTGTTAATGGTGTTTATTACCAACAATCGCTCTTTTCTAGCTTAAATTAATTGTTAATTGGGTTCCATTGACTAATAATTGCTCTTTTCTAGCTCCAGTCTATTGTTAATGGTGTTTAAAATCAACCGCTCTGCCTATTTAAAGCGCGTATACAATTATTCAAGTCCCAGTAGCAGCACATGCATCCGGACAAGTAGGAATATATGTATACACAGCTTTTCGAAATATTAACAAATAATTTTGTTCCCCGATAATGAGACTCGAGTAAGAGTTCAGATTTTGGTTTAACTTCAACAAGAAATCCAAAATCAAGGTTTTTAATGCAATAATCAACGAGGTGGACACCCTTGCTGATGTGTTTTAATCCTCAGCGTTTGGTCTTACTCTATTTTACTTGAGTCAATTACAATGTTGCGTCTCTCTTTTACTCACGGTATCGTGCAATTCCCTTCCACTGTTGACATTATGACTCATTACTAACGATTTATCTTGTCGATTTCTGTAAGTTCACTTCCAGAGATTCGTGCACTGGAGCATTAATGCCGACTTTCACGGCTTTAGACTACACTGATAAAGAGCTCTGTTAAGCGTTGTCGGGTTATTCACATCCTATAAAATATTAATCAAACTTTTTGTATTGAAATAATTTTAATTCAAAACGGACGATGTTCGTTACTTGAAGAGAGAGCATGCCGTGCGCTACCAATAAACGTAACTGCGAATGTAATTTCGTTCAGTACAGGCGGCTGATTAGGCTTTAAGATTTTTTTATACGCACCCGGTGCGTGAGTTTTACCTAATTTTTAAATACTTCAGAACAGTTTTTAACTATCCAAGTTGTAACAATAATAATAAAAGCAAATTAAATTTTTACTATTATTTGATTTTAAGCCGAAAGTAGCTGTATTTCACCATTTTGTAGTAGCAATAGAATAAACAATGACTTCGTCATCGTGTTTTATGTATCAAGAATATCAATGAAGCTCAGGAAACTCTATTCAGGTTGAATTATTTCAAGACGAAACTGAGTCATCAGTCCTGGGAAAGTCGGTGAAGTATAGTCGACAGATGCCTGGTGCTGCTTATTTTAGTGCTTCCTTTGCTTCCTCAAAATTAATTAGGCGAGTTGAATGTAGCAAAAGTTTCTGCAAGTTCCGAATTCTGATTCATAGATGATTGCACTTACGATGATGCACCTGAAACTTTGGAAATCATTCACCGTGAAAATGGTTTTCGTTGTAATCGTTTTCACAAGCAATTACGCTATTCGGAAGGCCAAGAATTTTGCAGTCATTTAGTAAGATCTATTCTCAATAATAGGTGTATCATGAACACTCAATTATCCAAATTAATGTTTGCCTAATTGAATAATTTCCAGTTGTTACGACATACGAGCGATTTGGCTCAATGGCCGCACATCGTGACGCTTAAAACGCTTGCTTATGTAACAAATACATAAATAAATATAAGCGTGACAAAATAAACTGAATCATCTGGTCTCGCTTTGATGTTCGCGAAACATAAGTCAACAAATTAAGAAATAAAATTTGCATTATCTCACATCAGAGCAATGAAATTCATCAGACACATTACCTCATGAGTCTACGAGGATTAGCTATCGTCACGCATAAAGAATGACACAACCGCACGATCATAACGGCACAAAAATTTCATCCCTGGTCAGTTTGTTCATCATCGGAAAGTTATCTTGAATTTAATCAGAGTAAAATATCACCGCATGCCAGTTAATAAATGAAATATATGATTAATATAACAAAAACATCATTGTAACGCGCGTCGTTACTATAAACACCAGAAGCCAACCGAGTTTAAAATTTGTGCAGAAAGTAAACATGAAGTTGTTTACAGAATAGAATGAATTATACGGACCCACTGTTAAGACATTGATTGAATAATCCCAATTAAAGATCTCTTGTTGTCGTACAAGAGAACGTCATTAGGCACGATGGTATCTAACATGAAAGTGAAATAAGACACACTCTAAGATGGTTGAGGGATAACTGTAACATTAATTTAACTAACGATATATCTTGCAATAATTTTACTCTATGGATGGAACAAATATCACTAGTAGAAGTAGTGTAAAAGTGAACACCAACTACACGAGGCACTTTATTCATCCTAGATAAATTGATGCAATCGTGCATATCGTCTTGCATTCTTTGATCAAACGATCAACTGTCGTGGGGTTACGGCCGAAAATCCTGTATTGTGCACTGATACTAGAACGGGGATCCTGGGCATCTTGTTTCGCCACGGCGACGGGAAGAGTGTTCGTACATTTAGAAGTTACGTCCTCAGGACTCAGGGTCAAATTCCTTGCTTTGTCACTGGCTGCGTCTAAAATGGCGTTTGGCACTCTCTCCTGATGCCAGGTGCATTAGAGTCTGCAAATTAAAATTAATGTTAAACATAGTCTTTAGCATCCAAATAATTCAATATTTTGAAAATTATGTGTTACATCGTCCGGAGTGAAGTATAAGTGCAAGAAATTGCTTGAAGTCTAACCGTTCGTTTCCTGTAGAAGAAATCAGCACAATTCTATTTTCATTTAGGAACTTTTACATAAATGTTAGTAGGCTATGCAGTACCTGGAAAATTCAAGACTGAATTGCGAAATTTTATAGTAAAAATAAACCAACGATTATTAGTATGAAACAAAACAGCAATCACTCCACTTATGAGCATAACCTGAAGACTGTCCTTACATCATACGGATCCCTACGAAATAAAATATTCGTTAATGTGCTAGTTAGCGGTTCGAAGGTCACTCTCAAGTATGGGATGTCTATGGCAGTGCTTCAGCAAAGCGAAAGTCATTAAAAGTCCTTCATTAGCATTTGGGTGCGGTCATTTTGGCAAGCAGTAGACGCAGGTGCAAAGCAAGAGTATAATTTAAGAGAAGAAACGTGATGAAAGGACAAAACTGTCAATTTAAGTAACTAGCAGGAGTGTAAATTACGACTACTCCGATAACCAAACGGGCTAAAATATTATAAATATTAAGTGGGGTAATTTATTCCATTTAGTATTTTTCTGCGCGCACACCACAAGCATACCGGTACTGAATCTCCATGGAAGACATATTGAATTTGCCCTTGACCTTCCTCCCTTCTACGGATTGCCTACCTTCTTTACTAAAGAGATGGAAAACGTTTGTTTGTTCGTGGTTACCTGCGACTCGGTCACCTTGAACGCGTGTTTTCAAGTAGGTATTAGACAGGTAACTTATACTTTCCACTTCGCCGCACTCTTTCTCTTCGCACATGCTAAACTCCCAAATTAACTACACTGTTTCTCTTCGCACATCCTCTAATGCCCACTTAACTGTACTCTTTCTCTTCGCACATCCTTTAATCTCAACTCAACTGCACTCTTTCCCTCCACACATCCTCTTCTCCCCACTTAACTGCACTCTTTCTCTTTACACATCCTCTATTCCCAACTTAACTGCACTCTCTCTCTTCACACATCCTCTACTCCCCACTTAACTACACTCTTTAACTTTACACATCCTCTACTCCCAACTTAACTACACTCTTTCTCTTCGCACATCATCTACTTCTTGCTCTAACATTCGGCGAGAGCTGGTGGAAAACTCACATATCATCTCAAAACTTAGACATAAGTTATGTAACGATCATTACTTTAGATAATACTTCACGTAACGCTGAGTTTCTTCTCTAATTATACGGAGCATAGTGACCAGTGAAATTATCACTTGCGTAGTAAGTCATTTGAACCGAGTGATGATTTGCTATTGTGCGCATTTCTTAGCAACTATTCAATCTTTTTTCGTAATTACTACGCCATTCGAATTTCAATTTCAGAAGAAATAAATGTAGCAACACGATTCATAACTTATGATATTAGAGTATGTGGATTAGTTTGAAAATATTTCCGTCCTTTTTGGTTGTTTCCTCATTATGTTTCTAAATTTTTTGAAATGACAGTAAGCGTGGCACTAACCATGACCATTCCGTCGTCAGAGAACTCCCTTTCGATCTGAACTCCCATGCTCGCCGACTCGCCGGTTGGTGTCTGCGTCAATTTTCCGTTCTCATCGACTTCAAAAATGAACTGAAAAGAATTAGGTTCTTGTAAAAATTGTACAGACATTTAGACAATTGATTCAACCGTAAAAATGAGAGTGGAATTCCACCGTGAGTCCGTGACGAATTTGCTGCTCATTTTTTATATTTATTAAGTATTTCCGCAAAGTTAACCATGAAATTTGTAAACTTTTACCGTTCTTGTGCCATCGGGAGTGGGGAGGGAAACTTCTTGGCCCAGCTTGAATATCCATTCAAAATTTTTTACTTGAGTTTTGGTGTGAAGTCTGTAAGTTCCTTCGTCGTCCACTTTAATTGTGACTGTAGGACTCATCTTCACCATCATCTTTTCGGCAAGGAAGTGGGCACCTGTGAATATAATCTCAGATGACATGTAAAAACTCTTCACAAATGTAAAACAATAATCTTGAGCAGAATCCGTAATTGACTTGTTGCATCAGACTAATTCAAATAATTTTTATGAATTCTCAATAACATTACGCGAGTTTTTGTTCGCTATAGAGAACGAACGCTCGAAGTCAGATATTGTTCGATTTGAAGCGGGAAATAACAATTGCACGGTACGCACGATTGTCGACAATCTACAGGACTTTTAACGGATGCCCTAGTTTCGTCGGATGCATGCACAGATTATTCTGTCGGTGTCTTGTCTGACCTCAATGTTTGGTAGAATGTTCAGTTTGGTTTTTCAGCATTTATATAACATTTTTCGTACAATTAAAATAAGAACCAAAACATAGCAATATATAATATAAGTTTTTGTTCATGCTAAAATATTTCAAATATGATGTTGTAAAAACCAACAATCGTATATCTTATGACTATATCTCGTCATATCAATAGCTGTATTATTCATCTCATGATTTTACGAGGTAAATTATCAAGTGTAGATTAAATTAATTACCTCTCTGTTCATAGAATTCTTCGACACCCTCGTCGCGCTCGTGTACGTAGACTCCACTGATGTTGGACATGGCTGGCGGTAGGATCAATACGCCTGCGAGAAATCACGCTACATGAACACAAACGTGTAAATTTAATTAATTGTTTACTATAAAAATACATGGAATCAGTTCTATATGTATCAGTGCCTAAATTGGATTAATAAGTTAAAGTAATTGTCGCTAATAGTTCTGGTTTTAAGACAGTAAAGTGTGAAAGAAAACGTGCACAGAGACCGAGAGTTGTTACAAGGTTTTGTCACATTGTAATAAAATAGTGAATAATCTTGATTGGGCTTAGAAAATCTCGGTTATCATGACTAGTTCTACTATTGAGCTAATCTTTTTTTGTCACTGTAATCAAATTATTCATATTAAACAGATTACAATTGCCAATTGAAAACGTAGAAAATAGTCGTTTGACTACTAGAGTCTAGAGCAACCAAACCAGTTAGCCAGACTTGTAGTGGTCAACAGGTGAGGTTCTGTCCGTCGCCCTCTCACTTTGAAGGGACCAAGGTCATCGAAAGGAATATGCAAAGTATTAACACGTAAGAAACCTATATAATTCCAGATCAACAACGAATGTTTGAATGGACAAACATTGATTACCAAGCTCCATAAAAATTGCTGTCATCATAAGTGTCATAGGTACTCATGTGAGTAATTTTCAATAAATTTTCTGCATTTAATCTTTCAACTCCTGCAGTCCAACAGATTTCAGTAAAAAATAAAATATCATTTAATTCAATATTATTCAACCCTATAAGTATCTAATTTTGCATCATAAATTCAATCTAAAACAAATATAAATATTGCGGTACCAGGTTCTTCATAACTAATTGAGCCTTGATCATTCAGTCAAAGCACTCTAGTCACGTCAACTCTATCTTTTCAACTAATCTTCTCACCTGCAAGACCTTGTTCAGAAGAAGACTTTCCTAGGAGTCTGGCAGAATGTCCTGAGTGTTCTAATTATTTAGGATTCAGATGTAAAGCTTGATTCTAGTAAGAACTGGATCGCTTAAATGGCAGAGGAGCGGCACTGCACTACACTTTTAGCCCTTCCCAGCTCAACTGAGCGCGCAGCTCGCAATTGAGTCGCATCGCTAGGCGGGACGTCGATGCCATCGATTCCGTGAGAATCGTAAAGGTTGCTGCTACAAGTTAGTCTAGCGACTGTGCCATACCAGCGGCTCTGCGCTACAAACTTGAACACACATGCTTCTATTCATGGATATTATTTGAGTATAACATTAGACTAAGGCACAAGGGATCATGTTTCTTAGGAATACGTGCTATCGTTAAAAAGTGCCCAAACGCACATAAGCTAAGGCAGCTACCTGAAAATCAATCATAGTGACTGACTAGTAGAGTAGAGTACTGTATTGACTGTAAAGGTCTGATAAGGGCTGCCGAGGGATGCCAGGAAGAAAAATTGTTTTCAAGGCTCGGGAGTCATTGTGACCTGCCTCCTGCACGTCACGTGACATTATTCAGGCGATGGATCGTTAGAAAGAAACTTCGCGTATTAGGACCTCACCTCACCTTGACGAATATTGTGACGGCATCACGTCAGTTTTAGCTTCCATACTAAAGCGAATTACTTCCTAGGCAACAGTAGTTTAAATTACTTTTCCAACGGAAAACTATTATTATTGAAAGCTTCCACGTAGCTCATGGTCACTATTTTTACGTAATAATACGTGTAAAATGTAAATAATTCCAGCGAAATTCAAGAATATAAGTTATCGAATCCGTTGTTTCTAGCAAATTTAATATTACACACGTTGCTTGTCGCATAGAAACTTCATTGCCAATTCTAACAGAATAGCATTTTAACTAGGTTTACATTGCAACCTACCTTACAGTGACTAATGATATTTCATTGCGCTCGATCTTTGTCCTTTTGTGGCATTCACATGTGGCTTAATCGTGTCCTTGTAACGTCGAGTTTTCTCAAGTTCGTGACATTATATTCAAGTTCGTGACATTATATTCAGGATTCTGACGTAATAGATCAATCTGCCCCGCTGCAAAAGGCCAACGAAATGCCCCAATATCGAAAGATGTTTGGGCGTTTGATTTCTGTATTTTTATTTCCTGTTGTTTCATTTGTCAACCAATGTCAGCCAATTTCTCGCACCTACTTTCCGACCAACATTGAAAAACGTTTTCCGGTCGGTTATTTTCCTGGTATATTATACTTGTAATAATTCCAACACAGAACAGAACTACATCAAATTCAGTGCAGTTACTAAAGCCCGGGAATGTGGTGATGTGACGAAACTTTCCCTGCGTATGCGGGACTTTTCCGCTGACCAGAAGATTAGGTTTGTACGCGGAAAACTCATAAGAGCGATAAGTTCCGAAGTGATGTAGTGTTAAACATACCGTTTCTAGACGGGATCTGTATCACACGTGCAACGGATACAAATATGTGCGACGTTTTCATTCAACTAAGGTACTTTGTTTATAAGGATGTAGAACATATAAATCGTCAGGCATTTCCGCAAGATGAATGAGGAGTATTAATTAGCTGTAATGTATTATGGACACAGAGATTTGCACGAGTGTCTATTAAAACGCTCCCGACAGCCGCGACACAGCAATGAATATATCTTCAAGTTTTTAAACAAGGGATATTCATAATTTTTTCTTAAATTCAGTACTTAGATAAATCGGGATTTTACTTCAAGAATGTTTAAAGAGGCAGCTTGGCGTTCCACAGTAATGCGTCGTTAGGAAGCAGGCAAAAGTAATAAAATGCTCAGTTTAATAGTTCAATATTATATTTTGTTCATCATAATTTCATAACAATTATTTACATTCGGCAGTTATGTGACCGAATTATGAACGAGGCTAGAATTAAGTCAAGAACATACTCTGAACATCGGCCCTGACAATCCTACGGTTAAATTAAGCTTCGATTTCTAATAGAAAGATAACCGCAACGGTATAAATAGATCGCTTCGACCAAAACTGCCATTAATGGAATATCGAAGTCCCGCGATTACGCGCACATTGAACGAGACTTGCCAAGCAGGCTATAACCCAAATAACTCCAACTACAAAACAACGTAATAACGTGGCCGTGTTTGAAGGCTATACTTGTAAACCGAATAGAGAACAATAACTATTTAATCGCAATGCGCAATGCTCTTTCCTGAGTGGCCTCAAATTATTTAGTCTAAACTCTAAACACTATCCCTGCATGCCTATCACTTACAATTTAATAGAATAAATATGCACTGAATACGTTTCTTTGGTACATGCAATGCACTCACAACGGCGAATGCAACAAAAATGGGAATAATAGGTCTTAAGTATCACAGCTAGCGATTTATAATCGAATGAGATTTAATGAACTACTTTAATCTAATCGTCATTTTATTATAAACAATAATAATACATCCATAAAAAACTCGGTAGTTTCAATCGAATATTCTCGTTTGTGCGGCGCAATTATCATTAAAAATGTCTAGAATTATAACTGTTCAAGATTGTTGTAAAAAACAAAGTATACTGTCAAGGCGAATTCAAACTTGAGGTAAACTAATTGACTTTCGAACGACAGCAACTGGTAAATACATCGAACATTCGATGATAAGTGGGTACACCTTCTCCTCGAGTAAATATGTAAACAAATTGACGCGGTTTGAACAAAAAACATCCTAATCTTCGAATTTCAGTCGAAGACTACACATCATACGGAGAAACAATGATCAACATTAAACCAATAGTTCGATAAGAACCACTTGTAGAGCAAGTGGTTTGCCCTGAGGTACAGCAACTGTTGCATTGAACTGGTGACTGGGTTGGCTGCGGTATATAGTCTACCAATCCTGGCAAGAACATTTAAAACACTTAACTATTCGGACTATTCCACGCGGCAAAAGATATAGAAAAAAATATTAGAAAGACAAGTCTCAAGAAACTTGTCAAACCAACTTTGGCAGTCTGTGTTTCTGGATCTGACAACTTATATAAATTAATAAATGTTTCTTTAGCAATTCACACACACAATATGAGATTCGTACTTGCAATAAACGCATTATCGCAATACCTGAACTTCAAAGTCAAATACTCACATTCATTACACTATTAAATCTTAGTACAGATGCTCTCTAATCTACCGACTATAAATGCGAAGCTGATCAACATGCATCACAGGTTGCTATATCTTAACAGAGCCAGGCACTCGAGACCAGAACGCATTCAGAACTGGTAACGACTATGCTTTAAAATCGCGTAGGTACACTCTGAAAAATCGATGCGCCATGTTTTTCAAATAGCGACATACTTTCTGCGTGTAACACTGATACATCATTTTTCCGGAAATATCACTATAAAACTAGTGGTAGTGAGACGGGACACTACCCACACAAGCGTCAAAAGTGCATCGTTATTTGGACAAAGTTCCATTAATTGCTGAGAGTATCTTGAAGGTGCCATCGCAAAATGACCTAGCAACACAACCGAGAACTTTTGTAGAACAGACTTGTTTGCAAGGCAGCGCTCTATCTATCCGATCAGGGAGGATCGGTTTAATCGCTGCTAATTATTGGCCACGCAGAATTTACTGTTGTTGCTGTCACTCAGTCTGATAAGGGACTCTTTCGCTCCATATTAAATATCCAGCATTGGATATTTATTTACATATATTTCTCTCAGCCTTGTGAGCCAGATGAGTACATCGCATCTCATTATTGGAAATAAATCATACATTCATAGTCTTTGTGTATTGCAACATAAGAAATAAATAATTAATAATAAGACCCTGAAGATATTTTACTGACCGAACACTACCTTAAGAACACAAGCAGGAACACAAACAAGAACACAAGGAGGTCCTAGACAAGAGATTCAGCAATTAATACAAGAAAGCTCGGCACTACTCTGCGCCCCGATATGAATGATGAATTATAAATGCAATGAGCAGCACGATGTGTAGTGATGAGACTGTGTGTTAAGGCCCTATCTCTGTCAGCACAGGACGGAATGCAGACTTGCAAGATGCAGACATTTTTGCGTCAGGGTAACTTTACCAAGCTAAATTAAGTATTGCCTTGTAATATAATTTTTTCATATAAGTTAAACTTGAGATTATTAATAATTAATGAGAGATATATGTCTCAGATGAAAATAATGTTCCTATGATTATAAAAAAAATTGTATGATACACACTTTATATTTGTTGAAAATCTGGCCGCGAAAGTTGGAAATAAATTTAAAGTAGTTCCGTCACTCCCGGAGCTCGCGTGAAATTCAAGAAAACCTGCAAGGACAAAATGTAAGTTACTAGCGCAAAATTATTTTAAAAATTGATAATTCATATGCAGACTTGAATATGACACACATTTCAAGTCTGCACATTAATTGTTGAAAAATTAACTGTGTAAATAATATCTCAAATTTAACGCAAATTTTATATACAAAAACTTGTTTTTAACGGTAATTAGGAGTAAAATTGAGCATTTAGGCCTTCAACAACTAGATTAAAAAGCCGAAAAATGATTAAAGTAAACTGCAGCCCCGGCTAAAAAGCACATTAGGTTTAGATGGTGAGCAAATATTATGTACGTTACGATTGGAGCAGCGAGTTGTGTGTTCGAGACCCACAGCAAGCTGTGAAAATTCTAGTATGTTCAGAATCGATGACAGGCCTGATGGTATAATCTTATACGCTGATACCGCAATACATACGTTACAAAAGGCATTATTATTCATGATTTGATATCCCAAAACTTATTTCCCATTAATTTTCCAATAAAAATGACAATATTTCTCTTAAAACTTGTCTTAAAAACGAGTTATTAAACTTAGTAATTTAAACTTAATAAAAATAACTTAAAAAGAACATGATAATAACTAGATAATAATTCAATCTTAATAAAAATAACTAAAAAAACATAATAAAATTAATAATAACTAGATAATATTTCAAACTTATTAAAAATTAAAAAAAAAAACATAATAAAAAATATGTATAACCTAACAAGCCGTTAGCCCCAGGCACTGACCCTCTCGAGCGTGGTCTGCGTGACGCTGTAGTCGACGACGTCGAGCATCGTCTTGCTGCGCTCCATCGTCCCGAAGACGTCGGCCCACGTCACCCCTGCCTTCCCGATGAAATATTCTAGCCTCCCCCACTGCACCTCCCGAACCTCGCAGTCTGGACATGTCATGATCTTATTGCTTCAGTACAAACAGTCTCTTGCATTGAAGCTAAAATGTTCACATTATATTAATAGTTATTATCATATTAATAGTGAATGATATATTCCAATCTCCCCCACTGCACCTCCCGCACCTCACAGTCTGTGAACGTCATGAGCTTATTGCTGCAGAACTTACAGTCTCTTGCATTGAGGCTAAAATGTTCACATTATAATAATAGTTATTATAGTGAATGACATATTCCAGCCAGCCTTTCTGCACCTACAGCACCTCGCAATCTGTGCACGAAATGGGCTGATTTATTGCGAAATGGGCTGATTTATTCAGCCCTTCTAATTTGTCATTGAAGCTAACTTGTCACATTGTTGCGTTTCTATGCGTTATATAGAAATAAATATAAACTCACATGCCATGTGGCAATTAAAAAACTGACGGGGTCCAGCAATAAAATTTTACACGTAACTTAAGCCTCTTCCTCAGAGTAGCATGAATAGATGTACCGATAATTCATGAGAGTAGTTCACCAAAAATCGTTCAGCTAACTTGCCTTCAGCTAACTTGCCTTCAGTTAATCTCCTGCATACTAACCTGGGAATTTCTCAAGGATGAATCTCTGCAGTTTGAGCATCTCTGGCGGCAGATGATCGAGCTCCATGTGGTCGCTTTCCTGGTTACCGGCCACCGCAACCCTACCACCAGAAATTCCAGCACCATCAAAATTTATTACTAAGTGTTCATATTGACATTTATTTATATAAAGATTAATTATTTCCCCAAATAATATAATGGCTCGGCGTATACGAAATAATTTAGCCCATTTAGCTAAAACAAAAAAGAGATTATACGTTTTTTTTAGAACCGGACGAAAAATGGGGCCAAAATGAGAAATATTTAAATGTTGCACAAGTAGATATATCCTCATATCTACGTGACGAACAAGTAAGTAAATCCTGATATCTACCTGACGAACAAGTAAATATATTCTGCTATGTACCTGACGATGAGGGAGTAGCCCTCTGAGAACTTGTTCTTGAGGTGTTGTGGAGACCCCAGACACCTGAACTTGCCGTGGGTCATAATGGCGAGTCTGGTGCACAGCGCCTCGCATTCCTCCATGCTGCATAAATACCACACAATTCTTGTAGCAATTTTTTGCCTCGACTTTCTATCTCAAAAGTCTATATTACGCATTGACTTTCTCTCGAAAACGTCAATTTCACGACTTAACATTATACGCCTTTAAAATCTCTTTTTTCAGCAAGACCTTCATCAGCGATGCGTAACCAATCAAATGCATTTATGATTTAGATTTTAATTTTTTTTAGTCACTGAATGCGGCTTTTGAAAACTTGAAAAATAATGAAAGCATCTAAAGAAAATGACGTTAAATATCGCTGAACATCTCAAACAAATTCTGACACCTCTAAATCTCGACATAGTTTATTGATAAGAAAAAATTCAACGAAATCAATTCATGCATATTAAAAACTACTTTGTTACTTCACTTAAATAGAATTCACTGCTGCGTGTGAATATTGGTACAATAAACACATTGTATCCATTCAACACATTTAATACATTCAAGACACCGAATACTTTCAGCACATTGAACCTGTATGAGGCGGGAACGATACAAGGCATTCAGCACATTCAACACAATGAACCTGTGTGAGGACGACGCTAGGCATTTGCCGGCGTCCCTGGCGGAGTTAAGGACGTCCCAGAGGTGACGACGAGCTACAGGATCCATGCCTGACGTGGGCTCGTCCAGCAGGATGAGAGGAGGCTCTCCTATGAGCGCGATGCCCGTGCTGATCTTGCGCTTGTTCCCTCCGCTGACGCAATACAAAACACAGTTTTCACGAATTATTACCATACATTTTATTGCAAATATAAAAAACTTTGCAGGATTACTATCACAAATTTTTCCGATAAAGCAAAGTTGTGTATGAGTTCGCCTTGTTAAATTATGTATGAGTTGAATGAGAGCGGCTGGGTGCTGTCAATCTGAGCCCAAGGGCAGAATCGTCAAATAGCTGGCAGCCTTCCTTAATCTATAGAATTACATGCTATCATCGAATAACCGTAATGCTTCTCTAAACCGTAAAATGAAATTGAATCGGATATAGATTTGTTCTGACTTCCAAAATAACAGCACTATTTGTGATCAATTAACACCAGCATTGATTGAGCTACTTCACTGAATCGGTTTGGTATGGAGCACCTATAGTTACCGACGACAATGAGCAATATAATTAACTTGTTTAAACCATATAATAAACAATCTACTACTAATAACATTGAACAAACAATCCCATTTATTTGGTTAACTATTGAGCACTTGCAGTTGCCGACGACAACAAACATAATAATCAGAAAAAAAAACATAAAAAAAAGAATATTGAATGGTTTTGGTACCTGTAGTTACCGACGAGGTTGTCGAGGTGCGGAGAGACGATGAGCTGCTGCGCCAGGTCAGTTATTTGCTCGTCTATGCAGCGCTCGGGAACACCGCGCAGCCGAGCGAACATCCGCAGAGTTTCCCGGCCTGTCATCTGGTCGAGCATAGCGTCGAACTGCGGGCAGTAGCCGACATCTTGCTGCACCTGAACACAAAATACCAATTTTGGGGTAACTAACTCGAGTAATTTGGTCAATAATAGTGGGCAGTAACCGAAGTCTTGCTGCACCAGAGCAGAATAATCCTAATTAACTAACTCGAGTAATCTGGTCGAGAATTGCGGGCAGTAGCCGACATCTTGCTGCACCTGAACACAAAATACCAATTTTGGGTAACTAACTCAAGTAATCTGGTCGATAATAGTGGGAAGTAACCGAAGTCTTGCTGCACCTGAGCAGAAAATAAGAAAATATCAACTTAGGGGTGACTAACTCGAATAATCTGGTCTAGAATTGCGGGCAGTAGCAGACATCTTGATGCACCTGAGCAGAATCAAATACGAATTCTGGGGTAACTACCTCAAGTAAAATTGTAGCTTGAGTAGAAGAGAATGGTGGTCACTTTTGCATGGACTTTTAACAGTCCTGATCACATGTCCGAGATAGTTTACAAGTCACACCAAATCTCTTTACTCATACATAAGTCACCATATTTATTAAAAAAATGTTTAGGTAAGTCAGTGAATAAAAAGAACAGACAGGAAACTAAGTACCTTCTTTATTTGGCTGGTGACACTGTAGCCGTTGACATAAGCGTCGCCAGATGTGACGGTGATATCGCCTGTCAACATCTTGAATGTGGTCGTCTTGCCGGCACCGTTGATGCCCAGCAGACCGAAACATTCGCCGGGGGGCACGCCTAAGTTGAGGCGGTCTACGGCCAAGTGGCTATTGCTGTACCGCTTCGTCAGGTCTCTGCGCAAATGATGATCACAATAATTTCGCGCAGGTGAATGAACCAAACAAGCCTTTGTTCGGCGCATTAGTTATTGTTATAGTTAGAGTGAGAGCATTAGTCTTCTTTTTAATAATAAAAGGATGAGTGAGGCATTGTTTAAATGGCGGTGGCAGTTTTATCCTTTTGACAGTGGACGTGGCACATGATAAGACATTTGCCAAGCCAAACTGGGTCAGGATGATACAGTTTTGGCAACAATTGCATTACAATTTTGACAGAATTTCACTAATTCTCTGAGTGTAGAAACCCGTATACTCAACAGGAGAAGTTCTTGCTCACTTGAAGACCAGAATGTCGCTCTTGAACAAGGCGTCGGTGGGGGCGGTTTGAATGCGCGTCGCTTCCTTGCGTACGTCTTCCTCCAGCTCCGTGTCTCGACCGCGCAAACCTGCAGTCAAGTACACCATAACAAATAAGGTAATTAATTAATGTTTATACATACTGTAGAATAGCAAGCATACTTCTTCTTCCAACTTAGTATTCAAGACCGCGCAAACCTGCTGTCAATTACACCATAACAAAGAAGATAATTCAGAAAACATCACGGTCAGAAACCGCAGTCCTGTTCACATAAGCGACCTTTCCTTAGTATCCTTAGTATTTGTTTGGGACATAGCAGTCCCAGGCCACGATGGATCGCCGCCTCTGATTATCGTTCATCCGCCCTCATTTGGGCCACCTGATGCACGATGCTGTTGCTTGCTTCTCGCCACTGGTAGTGTTGCAGGGGAGGTCGATCTAAGATTGTGCTCAGGAACACGTCTAGTTGTCTCTTGAAGGTCTCCAGGGTGAACTTCCCCTCTCTTAGATCCCTTGGTAGGGCGTTGAACAGCCTTGACCCTGCCACGGAAAGCGATCCTTCCCGCAGGGATTGAAATCTGACTGCGGATCTGTTACGCAGGGGAGGGATCTTGCAAAGTCTCCCCCTTCTCTCGTTGTGATATGTCTGACTCCTGAAGGTCTCGGTCTCGAAGTTTGGCACCATTCCGGTTATCATTTTCCATGTGTACAGAATGACATACCTCTCCCGTCTCCTCTGCAGTGAGGACAGACTCAGTCGCTGTAACCTCGCCCAGTAGGTAGTTAAAATTCTCCATCCCTCTGATCCTGGAAGTAAAGGTTCGTTGAACTCCTTCCAGTTGCCGTATTGCGCCTAGTGTGAACGGAGTCCAGAGCTGGCAGCAGTATTCAAGGATAGGTATTACAAGGGCTCTGAAGAGTGTGATAATCGGTTCCGCTTCTCTCGTTCTGAACGTCCGCCAGATCCACCCATCTGTCGTCTACCTTTTGCGGTAATTGCCGGTATGTGATCACCAAAATTGACCTGATTGTTCATCAACACTCCTAGATCGCGAACGAGTCGCTTCTCTTCGATTTCCGAGTTGTCAGGTGCCAGGTATTTGTAGTCTTTCTGTTAGGAAGCTGTGGATCCATGCCAGCAATTCACCTCCGACTCCCAGCAGTCTTAATTTTCTGAAGAGCACCCCATGGTCGACTTTGTCAAACGCTTTCGCGAAGTCCAAATACACCACGTCCACCCCGGCCCCCTCCTCCAGCATGGCTAGGATTTGGTGGTGATGCTCCCGTAACTGAGACAAACAGGAACGATTTCGTCTAAAACCGTGTTGCCTTCTGTTGAAAAGGTCAGCGTCTTCCATGTACTGCACCAACCTTCTGGCAACAAAATTCTCAAATACTTTGATTACGTGTGATGTTAATGTAACCGGCCTGTAATTTTGGGGTTTGTCTCTTGCGCCTCCTTTGTAGATAGGGGTAATTAGCCCTAATTTAAGGTCACTTGGGACATTTCCTTCTCTCAATGATGTTTTCCAGAGCAAAGTCAGAGGAACCTTTAGTGCACCGACACATCTTTTCAGTAATACTGCAGGGACTCCATCCGGCCCGGGAGCCGAATACGTAGATAATTCTTGGATACTCCTCTCTAGATCCGGCGTTTCAAACTCAATGCTCGTCAGCTCCCGATCCCCTGGAAGTTCTTGAATGACTCCAATTTCGTTCTCCTGCCTTGAGTATCGGGGTTCGCTGAATACTTTTTCAAATTGAGCTCCCAGAAGTTTGCACATGCCCTTGTCGTCTCCAACAAGGACATCATTATTTTTCAGAGGCCCCACTGAGGCTCTGATTTTGGCCTTTGACCGGGCATAGTTGTACAAATATTTGGGATTCTCTCGAATTGCAGATACCGCTTGCGCCTCTGCAATTTGTTGCTCGGCCTCGTGTGAGTCCTGCAACTGTCGTTCAGTTTCCTTAATTTTAACCTTTAGATGTTCCAGCCTCTGCCTCTCTATATTCCCGGAGGCAGCCGTTATCTGGTTGTTCAAGCTCGCTCGTTTTCTCATAAGGATCCGTCTGTCCCTCGGAATTATGTGGCGTTTGGGGGTCGTTTTTTCCGGTTTGTGACGCACGCATACCTGCAGTAATACTTCGCATAGTTTGTTGTACATTGTTTCGGCGTTTAATTCCAGGAACTCAGATCTCCAGTCAATTTCGAGGAGTTCGTACCCAATGGCCTCCCAGTCTGTTCTTCGAAGATGGAAATTTAGCCCAGCACACACAGCACACCACACTTCGATTCGCTAGGGAGCACTTGCTAAGCTAACAGGTTCTGGTGCCACAAGCCCGACCACACAGCAATTTATCGCCGTCAAACAAAAACAAAGCCTCTGTTGTCATATATTGGGAAGTGCCTAATTAATGTTTATACATAGAATAGCAAGCATAACTTCTTGTTCTAGCTCAGTATCCTCGACTGCGCAAATCTGCTGCAAATTCAACAGTAAAAAAGAACACAATTCAAGGAAGTGTATGCATGAAGTCAGAGGTAATAATTCAAGTAATATTCAAAATTGAATATTTATAATGCGCTCTTGAGTTTTCATAAAGAATGTTTTACATTTGTTTTCAATAAAAATAAAGTTAATAAGAACACGTAAACCTGCACAATAACAATCAATATAAAAACTATTAATTAAATTAGCTCGATTGTAACAGGTTTTGCTTTAAATTTTCTGAATATATTATATATACTCACTTGACGACCCGGAATACGCGAATGTTGAGTTTCCATTGATAATCTTCCGTTTCATTTTGGCCATAAAATACTGAGCCGACTGGAAAACCTGGAAGCAAAAGTTAATGTAGTAGCCTTATTTATCTAGGGAGGCTCAAAAAATTTTTTAGTGTTTTATTATATTAGTGCAAAGCCCTAATAATCACAGAGAAAATTTTACAGAAAATTGTGACTCTCGGCCATATTTTTAATACTAAAAACGGAGTCTTTATTCAAATGTACCCTAGGAGAAAGGAAATATTATCAAGGTCTATACATTTGAAATAAATGTAAGCCTAAGAGTTCTCACTCATTCTTCTAACAGATATATGAATAATTCTCACCTTGAGTTCCACTAGAGCAATCAGTGTATAGAAGATGAATCCTTCGATGGTGAGGAAGAAGAGCATTCGTCCGATGCCGAGTTTGTCCCACGCAACCATGTCCTTCTGCCACTCCACGCAGCCGAAGTCACCGCAGTTTCCGTTGTCTGCAAATTATTGGCAATAAAGACTTGAAAAGTTCTATTTAAACCAATGAGAATATCTTTTAGCTGATCTTCACTAGTGGTCCGCATTCCACGAGATTCACAAACAAAAAAGATGGAACTTTCGAGCGGCTGTAAAATCATGTACGTTAAAGCTGAATAAAATCTTCAGCGAGAAAAAATCTGAATAAAATCTCACTCGTTAATGAGCGAGCATATTCAAGCAAATAACGTTGAACAACGTTGAAAACGAGTTGATTTCGTTCAAATTTGTTTCATCGTTGGTTGCCTCTTGAGTAAGAAGGTCCACGGCATGAGCGAACATACAAATATTCACGGCACAAACTCACTCTTGCAGCAGGGGTTGGCGAAAACGCTGCCGAAGCTGCACGACAGTTCGATGGGTTCCCAGTCACAGATTTGCCGGGAGCGGAAGTTGGCGTAGAGATCCGTGAGTGCGGACGCCAGGGCGTACGGAGGCAGGAGCAGGAAGACCCACTCAAGAATGTCGGCGACGTGTTTCAGTTCCAAGTCCGGGATACGGAGCATCGTCACCGTGATCAGAGTCGCCATGCCTGAACAAAAGTGATGCCATTTTCAGGCTTGGGATCCAACTTCTTAAAGAAGCTGTGCTTTCAAAAATAGTGAACATGAAGACACCAAGCAAAACAGATAAGTAGTTACAATAAATTAAAGATTACAAGGGACCAAACACATACAATGAAAAGAAAATGCATCAAGCTTGATAAACATCACTGGTAAGGATGCGCTGCAAACTTGACGAATAACGTAAGAAAAGGAAGACCTGCCTTCGAATTTACATAATATAGGACATGTGACGCTCATAATACGAGGCTCTATATAACATGCCACTCAAACTAAAATATATTCAACATCCGCAACACATTAACAAGACGGACCACGCTTAATAAACAAAATAATCAAGCAAAAGATATACAAACGTTCGACGGCCGTACTATCAATAGTTCGTTACTCCGTCAGCCAATCACTGAGGGGTTTTTTCAGCTGAACCCGCCAATGCTACGCTTACTTAGGTCGCTACGCATACCTTGGCCACTACGTGTAGTGAAGCCGCTACGCGCACTTGAACGAATTAATATTAATGCCACTGTAACGTACCAATGAAGACGTTAAGGATGCTCATCCTTGTGAAGCCTGACGAAGGCACCGTGAAGAAGAAGGACGCGAGGTACATGAGAGGAGCCATCGCCCACGAGTACAGCACCAGCACCAGGAAGATCAGCCCAAGCTGACTGGGCTCCCGCATGCCTTCTTCGTTGAATACCTGAACAATTGTACAGAACAAAATTAGTAAACGCATTCAATTTGTGCGACTAGAAGCAAAATCACAAAAAAGGCTAAAATTTTAGGTTGAGCTCTATGAACGTGGTGGGCGGGTGGTTATGGTTAAGTATCGGTAACAGGCCGACGAAGACTGGTCAAAGCTGACACCACAATATTGCCATTATATTGTATTACCTATACAATATTAAATCATATTATACAATATTATATCATATTAGTATATATTATATTATATTACATATTGTATAAATATTTTATAGAGGGCGAACAGAAAGATCTCCCTAAGTGCGGACCATTGCACACACACGTCACCTTGAGACACACGACGATGAGGACGTAAGGGACGAGGTAGATACAGAAGTCGACGATGGCCGTAGCCAGCCAATACGTGACGAAGTTAACGCCGCTCACGAACTGCAGGTGCTTCGCGTTACCTAATAACAGGTCACATTCCTACGTCACAACTAGAATATTAAATATTACATTTTACTGAAACCTATATTAATGTTTAAAACAAAAATTATGAATTCTTCAGGTAAGCATTGGGTAATGTATAAACGGAGTCAATGCGCACAACATACAAGTATGTTGAAACATCGGGGCAAACATCATATCTATAATATTTATACAATACAACAATTATACAATAGTAATCTGCTGACAGCTAATATTTAAAAATTATACAATAATACTCAGCTGATAGTTTCTCTCTGCTAAGTGCTTATAACGTACGATGAAGTTAAGAGAACGACACTTTCATCATCATAATCATCCAATATAATAATAATCATACGGCACTAATCAACTCACTGCTTCTCTCCCTGATGAGGAACATGACCAGCGAGCCTGAGAGGAAGGATAAACTGAACGCCAGGTTGAAGCCGATGTTGAAACCCAAGTTCTGGCGCGAGTCTTGCGTCAGCTGCGACAATTGCAGCTCTCATTATAATTCGTAATGAGTTTTGAAATTATTTATTTAGTAAACCGCAAGTTATAGTAAAAAATATACAACTATTGTTTGCATAACGAGAAATTAGAGGAATGGAGTTACAGCTATGACTGTTAAAGAAGAAATAAAACTACAACAATTGAACTATTTACGTCGGTTCAACTATTCCATATTGAAGTAACGTATCACTGTCAGGGGGATGGTTGATGGTGCGTATGGTGACATACCTTATCTGTATCAGTGCGTGGCAGAGGATGGTTGATGGTGCGTATGGTGACATACCTTATCTGTGTCTGTGCGTGGCAGAAGATGGTTGATGGTGCGTATGGTGACGTACCTTATCTGTGTCAGTGCGAGGCAGAGGATGGTTGATGGTGCGTATGGTGACGTACCTTATCTGTATCAGTGCGTGGCAGAGGATGGTTGATGGTGCGTATAGTGACGTACCTTATCTGTATCAGTGCGTGGCAGAGGATGGTTGATGGTGCGTATGGTGACGTACCTTATCTGTATCAGTGCGTGGCAGAGGATGGTTGATGGTGCGTATGGTGACGTACCTTATCTGTATCAGTGCGTGGCAGAGGATGGTTGATGGTGCGTATNATTTAATGCATTATTTCGGAAAAATGCCGCATGTCTTTCGTTTTACTTTTGTCTAACGGTTTTTTCTAATTATTCAATCATCGATATCATTCATTACATTGAGATAGGTATTCAAGTCGAGCCACTATTCCATCACATTATTTCGCTTCCCGCAATTTTCTTGTGTCCGTACATGCCACGTGTCAGATTTGTTTCAGCAACAATGCTAAAAATAGGTACAGAATTGAGTGAAGCCCAATAACTGATTCGTAGAAAAAATGGTCAAACGCAATTAATTTCCGTATGATATCAGTGTGAGTGCTAACAGAGCTGGGGCTTGACCGTGGTTCTTTTTAACTTCCGCTACTAGGCTTGGCCTAATCTCAAGAAAGGAAAACGACGAATGTCGGTGCTTCTTAATTGAGAAAACTTGATTACAGATGAAAATTTATCTTGTAGGCAGCGACATCCACAGAGTGAAGAAATTGTACGAAGGATTACTATCATCAAAATCGTAAAGGTCTCAAAAAGGAAGACGGACTTAACACGGCAGGCTAGATATCGTTCAAGCTGTCTCTTATACACATCTAGATGTGTATAAGAGACAGACTTAACACTACTTATTTCGTCATTAAAATATCCGCAAATTGAACAAATTAACACTACTTATTTAGTCATTAAAATATACGCAAATTGAACAAATTAACACTACTTATTTCGTCATTAAAATATCCGCAAATTGAACAAATTAACACTACTTATTTCGTCATTAAAATATCCGCGAATTGAACAAATTAACACTACTTATTTCGTCATTAAAATATACGCAAATTGAAAAAATTAACACTACTTATTTAGTCATTAAAGTATACGCAAATTGAACAAATTACAGCCGCTGTATTTAACTTTCTCAGTCCAACGCTTACCTATTGAAAGGTCAAGAAATTTACATTTCTTTTTATAATAACATGTTTCAATTTTATTATATTAACCTTCATATCATAGTAGGTTTCTTATTATAATGTTCTTACTGTCATATTAACCTACTTATCATATTAACCTTCTCATCATATTACCCTTCTTATCATAATAAGCTTCATATCATATATCATAATGAGCTCCTTATCATTAAAGTCCTTAATATTAACCTACTTATAATATTAACATTCTTATTATATTAAGCTTCTTATCATATTAACGCTTATCCTATTATGTATAACGTGTCACCTGGAGCGACGCCCTGAGAGGAGGGGGGCTGTCGATGGCCCCGGGCAGCGTGCGGATGATCAGGATGGCCAGGATCAGGAACACCACGGGGATCATCATCTGTAACGCGGGGGTTTTATTGTTTGTAATTTTCTTTTTCATTACCTCGCAGCCTGGTAGCGGGGTAATGAAGCGCCGTATAGTTAAGGGATAAGTGCATTCCTTGATATGGTAAGACTTAGTCCAACTTTACATGCGCTGTTGAGCTCCAGCTAAACAGAAGCGGCAAATGATACTAAACGCTGGCTCTGCCAAAGAACTATAAACATTTAATCCAACCTGAAATACTCTCAAAAAATTCAACTTCACATACTTAAATATCTCGCCTGTATGACGGAGATAACTCTGTTCCTGACGACATATAAGGTCTTATGTTCTATACGCTATAATATCTCGCCTGTATGATGGAGATAACTCTGTTCCTGATGACATATAAGGTCTTGTATATTCTATACACTGTAATATCTCGCCTGTATGACGGAGATAACTCTGTTCCTGATGACATATAAGGTCTTGTATATTCTATACACTATAATATCTCGCCTGTATGACGGAGATAACCCTGTTCCTGACAACATATAAGGTCTTCTTCACAAGCATGGCCCAGAAGTGCTGCAGCAGCAGACGTAGTCCAGCATTACGTCGCAGTGGCACGCGTCGTCTCCTCTTGTCTGACGCGCCCGTGACGCTCGAGGCGCTCGCAGCGGCCGCTGCTCAACCGCGTCCGGAATATCAGTATTTACGGGGATATTAATCACTCTTTACAATTTATTAATAGGATTATTACTTTACAGAAATGAGTCAGATTTTGTCACTCATTGAGAAATTAAGAATAATGACGAAGACTTTGCCATCGTTAAAGTCCTCGTAACTTTGTTTGACCCGGCAAAAGGTTGATTTTACCACAAACAACTTAGAACTTGACTTAGGTAATTCATCCAGGATAAAATACTCACGTTCTACCTACCTCAAACAATTGAAAACTTTTCTCGGCCAATTCATCAAACAAGCCAATTGCCGGTGATATATGCATTTATATATGTTCATTCATTTTTGTGATGCATTAATTGATTAAAAGCTGCAATAATAACGTGCTTCCAATTCTAGAAAATATCTAAAAAAGTTTAAAGAAATATGTTATTTTGGTTGATGAGCGCAGTGCACACTGGGAAGTTTTTCAGCATAATATTGAATTCTAAATTGAAAATCGAGGTTATCACAATTTTTATATGAAAACGTTAGAAAAATATTAAATAGTCTTAGAGGTAGAGGATTTGAAAACCATGCATAAATTGATCAGAGTTACTATGGCTATTCTGAAAATACTGAAATGGCCGGGGAAAGAGAAAACGGAAAGTGCAACATATAATCAAAATACAATAGCATGCAAGGGCATTTAAGCAGGATAAAAAAATTAGATAAAAATCATTATTAGATGAAGTAAACACGTCCCGCACGCTGCCCTAAACCCTGCCCCATTATCCCCATAAACATGTTTGTAATGTTAGCATTAAGAGTGAAGTTCTCGGCAGGTTACGTGGCGGCCATATATACGTGTGTAACTGGTATATGAATTATATTGTATATAAGAAGTAGACGAATGTGCATGTACTGCTTTATGAACAATGTGTGTGACTGGTATATGACTTATATTGTATGTAAGTAGTAGACGAATGTGCATGTACTGCTTTATGAACAATGTGTGTGACTGGTATACATGTATGTACATACGTATATGTAAGTAACTGGTATATGTACATATATGTAAGTGACTGGCATATGGATATACGTATAAGTAACTGGTATATGTATATACATGTAACTGGTATATGTATATACATGTGACTGGTATATGTATATGTAAGTGACTGGTTTATACTCGTGTAAGAATATGTAAACTGGTATAAGAGTATGCAAGTTAAGTACTACTGGTATACGCATGTAACTTAGAATATGCATCTAAAAGATAACTGGTAAGTAAACGGAAAGATACTTAACGAAGATTGTCCACTCTGTGACAGACACAAATGTTATGGCCGGCAGAGGAAAATAGAAATAAATATGAGCTAGCAAGAAAAACACATGGCCTAGCAGAGTGATAATTACCGCCAGTATCTTATAATTAACTGAACTTGTAAAAAATAAAATAAAAATATCTACCCAGAACTTTCTGCAAAACCGTTGCGCTTGCCGAGGCTCGCCCTGTTGATGTGAAGAATGCGGGACACTTTAGTGGCGGTGCTGACATGCTCGACACAAATGCTGCTTTGTGGGCTGACAGGAGGGGGCAAATAACAATATTCGTGCCTTGAAAAAGTTAGGAGTGTAGGATTGCTATTTGAAATATATATAAACACAAACGCAATACATGTAAAACAAATAAGTACAGATTTTAGGCGAGAGGATGGGAATATTATACTATTATATTATATATTATATAATATATAAATTGAAACTCATGTAATATAACATAATATTATTATATAATATAATATTATTATATTATGTTATATATAATTTTAGGGAATGTTAACAATATGTTTACAGTTAAGGGATAAAACTATTGAATAAAAGACTAAATATAAATTGGACAGAGTGCACATTCAGAAGCGATCACGGTGGTAAATTCGGTAATACGTTTAAACATTTGCTAGGGGTTAAAGCAGGCTTTCCCAGGAGGGATCTCTCCGTTGAGACCAATACAGATATTCTTATACATGTCATGACTCACAGAACTCTAATGACTTACATTCACCACGCACGCAAATATTTTCCACTGAATTATAGCCATCTGAGCTGAGTTCTATTTTGATGTTTATGTTTCCCTATATATTACGTTAAAATTTTGGGAAATACATTAAGAATTCGGCAACAAGGGAGTTACAAAACAATGAATTTCAAATTTCGATTACAGCAAACAACGTGCAGAGAACGTGTTATCGTATTTTAAATAACGCGCGTATATATATGAGGCAAGCTTTCCGCAAGATACAACGCTTGATCTCTTCGACAGGTCGCATTAAAGAGAAAGAAAAATCAACACAAACAACGTCAAAGCCATAACGATGCAGTATAAAGTTCAGGTAACTCACCACCAGCACGAGTGTCCGAAGCCTCATATGCTTCCTCAAAGTCATCAGTGGGCTGGGGCTGAAGCAGAAGCCCTTTTTCGGGCTTCATGGCGATGTCGCGGGCCGCTTGCTCCTCGATCTCGCGCATGAGCTGCATTTTCATGCTGTTAACGGACACGGATGAACCCGTTCTCGCGTGCTGCTTGCCACGGGCTCGACCAGGTTCAGACGCTGCATTCAAAATAGCTCCGTTGAGTTGGCTTTTATCTTGAGTTTCTGCGTTTAAAATTGCCCCGTTGATTGAGGAGAGCGGGGAAGACGAGGCGTCGTTGAAATGGTGAGGCTTGGCTGAGGAGGCAGTGGGGCGGTTGGTTGCTGCGGCCTCTGCGCTGTACTGACGAAGCTGTTCACGTTGTTCAGCGTTCTCCCCAACCCTTCCATGGATATAAAATATAAATATGAAATAAATTATCTATTGTAAAGAGGCATCAAGGATCGTCAATGTTATCAGAAGATAAGGCAAGTTTGTCAACATATCTGCTTCAGTACTCAGAATTAATTCATCATCTTGAGAGTCCTTCCCAACATTTGGCTCATTTTTAATGTGTGCATTGTTTTCATATAAGCAAGAGTAAATCAACATTCCAAACTAATATAGAAAAAAATCGTCTTAGTCTGCACGTTCGGCTGTCCTCGACAGAATTTCATGCGTCCCTAAAGCAACATTTCTACGCGCACACTGGCCCAGTGATTTAGATCACCAAGATTGGAGCATCAATTTGTGGGTTCGAGACCCGCAATTGCTAGTGAAAGTTCTGATCGAAATAGGCCAGGTCGAGGACGGGAAAGTATCGGCGACAGGCCAACATTACCTAATCACAGCTTAATTATTCCATCACTTAACGGTGTACGGTATTATACTCTTCGAAAACATTATACATTTAAAGTATGTATGTTCACCTCAAGAAAACCTCATCCATGGTAGTTTGGCTAGCTCCATAGCTTGAAACTTTGAGTTCTTCACGCCGTTGCTCGAGCTCATTGAAAAGTTGCTCGAACTTAGCGACATCTTCGTTGGGCAGAACGTAAGAAAGTTCGGCGCCGTGGTTCTGGTCAACGCGCGCGTCTTTGATGTACTTCTGGATGGTGGCCGTGACGGCGGCCACGTCGCACGACTCTTGCTTCACCAGCACCAAATGATACCCGCTACCTGGACACGTCACAGCAACATATAAACATCTCATCCAGTAGTAAATGATATAAGGTTTTTCCCAACATGTTAACATTATGCAGTTTATGCTTTCCAGCAATTCATCTTGTAGTTATTACAAATACAGTATTGTAAAGTACAGTACTGTATTGGAACTAAGTATTACGCATTATATCCGTATGTACAATATTGCAACTAAGTTGAATTTTTCTCCGGCACGATGAATTTCATGGAGTTAGGATCAAAGGAGTAAATGGATAGACACTTCATTACCAGGAATTTCATGAAGTTGTCATATAATAAACCCTAATTATAATCAACCATATAATAGTAAGCTATAATCAATGACCGTGATTACCATATCTCTTCTTAAGGAACATGGAAGACCCGCAGCACTGGACCACACCGAGCGCCATGATGGCGATGCGGTCCCCCAGCAGGTCGGCCTCCTCCATGAAGTGCGTTGTCAGCAATAAAGTGCGGCCTGTTACAAGACTAACTCTGTGATAACAAATAATAATAATAATAATCTAGTCATACCCTGACAACAATAATATATACTTTTTATACTTTATATTTGTTATAATTATTATCATAAAGGCCGGTCCTACAGCAGGTCGGCCCCCAACATGACACGCGTCGTCAGCATTAAAGTGCGGCCTCTTCCAAGCACAATCATATTATTCTAGTCATCTTTCAACAATAATATATCATATATTCAATGCCCATAATATTAATCATAATAAATAATAATAATAATGGTCACAAAGTCCTATAAATTTGTCACTCTGACGGGTTATTTTGAACATTTCCTACCGGTTCCTGATACTCAAACGCAATCTAAATATACTGAAGCTTCTCTGAGATATTTCGAATAAACCTTCCTACCAGACCCTTGTATAGCAGTATTACCACACTGAACAATCTCGAACCAACATCAGTTCTGAAAAAAATCTGGTTAAAAGACCAGTTTTTTCTTTCTCCTGTGAACAATTCGCTAAAATTGATCAGCAACAGGCCACATAAAGCCTATTAATAAACGCCGACACTATTATACGAGTATACAATATTATAAGTAGTGAAGACTATAATAATTCACCGAAATTAATCGGCAACAGGTCACATAAGGCCTATTAATCAACGCCGCCAATATTATACGAGTATAGAATAATATAAATAGGTAGTGAAGAGAATAGTGAAGAGAATAATAAGTATGAATATGACCTTGTTTGGCCTTCTGGAGGAGGTCCCATATGAGGCGCCGTGCCCCAGGGTCCATGCCACTCGTAGGCTCGTCTAGGATGACGACCTTGCTGCCCGCGCACAGTGCGATGCCCACCGACAACTTGCGCTTCATGCCCCCAGACAGCGTGTACGACTGAGCATAAGAATTATAATATAAAAATTTCAACATCAGGATTTCCTGATTAACCTAATTTATGAAGATGAAAGAACACTAATGAAATAATCAATGAAAGAACACGAATGAAATAATCATTTAATGAATTAATATCGAAGTAGAGTAAAAAACTTTAGAGTTTCAAAAATTCTGCGTCGGTATATTTAATTTACATTATGAAGTAGCGGCATTCGCGTGCAGCCAGAACTATAGACTCTCTGAGCAATAAGAAGAGTAACCAAATAATGATCACACAAGATAACAATCAAGTAATGATTAATGTTCAAAATATGTCTGCTCACCTGCGCGTGTACTTTATCTTTGAGTTTAAGTGCGGTGACGATGGACTGAACCTCGGCTTCGACATCCGCCCGTGGAAGACCTTTTAGCTGCGCAAGAAACACAATGAATTATAATAGCTACGACTTTTGTTTCTTATGTACACTAATCATTTCACTAACATTCTAGATACGCTCTCTTCTTGCAAGATTTACGATCTTTAGTTTACCAAAATTCATGATACATTATTTTAAGAGGAGGTTAAATCAGTATTGTGAGCGTAAAGCCCTGGCTGTAGAGATCTTTTAATACGAATGAAAAAAAAATTAATTTTGGCCAGCTAGCACACAAGAGATTGGAGACAAATGTAAATGAAGCAACTGAAAACTATTGGTGAGAGTTTCTTTTAGTAAACATCTCTTGTGGGCAAGTTCGTGAGTACTGAGCAGCTTCGTGGTGCTCTCAATCACACAGCAAAATATATGTCTAAACATCAACGAAGCAAAAATGCTAACAATAAAAAAGAATGGATATGTGTACTAACAATTCACTAACAAAATCACACACAGCTCAGCACCATCTTCGTCAAAACATCAACAAGAAGATGCTCACAATGGAGAAGAACTGTATGTGTTCGCTGACGGTGAGCTCGTCGAAGAGCACGTCGTGCTGGGGACAGATGCCTATGGAGCGCCGCACCTCTGCCATCTCCTTGACGATGTCGTAGCCGTTCACCACCGCAGTCCCGCTGCTCGGCGGGAACAGACCTGATCAAAAGAGGTCATATTCATTAAAATATCATAGTTTAATAGGCAAATTTTGACTAATAGTAGATGTCCTGAATACGCCATTTTGGCCACTGATAATAGAATTTGCTATTTTAAATCTGAGACTGTACTTAAAGACAAAGAAATTATGGAGCAAAATAAACCTGTAATGGAGAGATTTTGTTCACCTACAAGAATATTCGGTCATACAAAAGTCGTTTGCAGAATTTGCCCATATTTTGAACGGTCTGTGCTTCTTAAACGAAAAAAAACTGGGAGCTGCAAGAATTTATAGAAACAAGCCAAGCCAGAGTGAATATCCGGGAATTGCTGCCGTTGTGAAACTTGGGTATTGAAATTATTATTTATAATAGTGTTAAAATTAATACTATTTTAATCATGTTAATAGGCCTAAATATATGAAATGAACAGACCAGTTAGCATGGACATGGTGGTGGTCTTGCCGGCCCCGTTGTGCCCCAGCAGGACGGTCATCTGGTTGTTGTACATGTTCAAGTTCATCTTGTTGACCGCAACTTTGTTGCCGCGCTTGAACACCTGTGGCCAAGATACGTGGTTGGCGCTCGAATATCTATTAATATAATAATATAATATTATATTATATTATTATATTATATAATGAATATATTTAATATAATGAATATAATTATATTCATAATATTATATAAATATATAATAATATATTTATATATATAATTATAATATATAATATTAATATAACTATATAATTTATATTATAAATATAAATTATATAATTATATTCATAAATATCCCTTTTTAGAAACAGATTATTGCTTGTCTAAGAAAATTATTTCGGATTTCTTACCACGGAACAGCACCTGGCCCCGAAGCCAGATTTAAAAATTAATATTCCAGTATTTCGCTATGTTATGATAATGAGAACACAGCTCGTTTCAACGCAAGAAACACTTGCCGACAAGGGGTTGGTAGTTGCACCGAGTTAATTCGGAGTTTATTGAAATTATTATAAATGGGAACGTGAACCAATAACAGCTTGTAAACACACCTTGGTGAGTCCCTTGATCCTGATTCCTATCTGCTGTCCCACAGGATCAGGCTCGAAGAAATCAGGGTCCGGTAAATCCTCGGCTCGGGCGCTGGGCGGCGGCACCATCGACGGGACATCCGCCCCCAACCAGTAGGATCTCTGTAACATGTAGGATCTCTGTAATACGTAGGATCTCTGTAACATGTAGGATCTCTGTACATGTAGGATCTCTGTACATGTAGGATCTCTGTAACACGTAGGATCTCTGTAACATGTAGGATCTCTGTAACACGTAGGATCTCTGTAACATGTAGGATCTCTGTACATGTAGGATCTCTGTAACACGTAAGATATCTGTAACACGTAGGATCTCTGTAACACGTAGGACCTCTGTAACACGTAGGACCTCTGTAACACGTAGGTCCTCTGTAACACGTAGGATCTCTGTAACACGTAGGATCTCTGTAACAGCATGTAGGTTCTCTGTAACAGCATGTAGGATCTCTGTAACAATACGTAGGATCTCTGTAACACGTAGGGTCTCCGTACCAGCATGTAGGATCTCTGTAACAACATGTAGGATCTCTGTAACAGCATGTAGGGTCTCTGTAACAATAGGTTGGATCTCTGTAGCACGTAGGATCTCTGTAACAGCATGTAGGTTCTCTGTAACAGCATGTAGGTTCTCTGTAACAGCATGTAGGTTCTCTGTAACAGCATATAGGATCTCTGTAATAGCATGTAGGATCTCTGTAACAGCATGTAGGATCTCTGTAACAGCATGTAGGTTTTCTGTAACAGCATGTAGGATCCCTGCAACAATACGTAGGATGTCTGTCACAAACGTAGGATCTCTGTAACAGCATGTAGGATCTCTGTAACAGCATGTAGGATCTCTGTAACACGTAGGATCTCTGTAACAACATGTAAGATCTCTGTAACAGCATGTAGGATCTCTGTAACAGCATGTAAGATCTCTGCAACAGCATGTAGGATCTCTGTAACAGCATGTAGGATCTCTGTAACAGCATGTAGGATCTCTGCAACAGCATGTAGGATTTCTGTAACAGCATGTATGATCTCTGTAACAGCATGTAGGATCTCTGTAACAGCACGTATGATCTCTGTACAAGCATGTAGAATCTCTGTAACAGCATGTATGATTTCTGTAACAGCATGTAGGATCTCTGTAACAGCATTTAGAATCTCTGCAACAGCATGTAGGATCTCTGTAACGCGTAGAATCTCTGTAACAGCATGTAGGATCTCTGTAACACGTAGGATATCTGTAACAGCATGTAGGATCTCTGTAGCAGCATGTAGGATCTTTGTAACAGCATGTATGATCTCTGCAACAGCATGTAGGATCTCTGTAACACGTAGGATCTCTGCAACAGCATGTAGGATCTCTGTAACACGTAGGATCTCTGCAACAACACGTAGGATCTATGCAACAACACGTAGGATCTCTGTAACAACACTTAGGATCTATGCAACAACACGTAGGATCTCTGTAACAACACGTAGGATCTATGCAACAACACGTAGATCTCTGCAACAGCATGTAGGATCTCTGTAACAACACAGTGGCTTATAAAGACAAAGTTATTCGCTTCTTTGCCTGAATTGTTGTATTGCCACTGGCCAAACTGCAATAGTCGTCACATATTTTAATACAACGCCTTAAAAATATAAATGATGCACGTACTTCGTACGCAGTTGATTGAAACGTAAATAAGTATAGAACAAAGAGAAACTACATTATTATCTTGAATGCCATCATTGTAAAAGTCATCTTTAAAAAAACGGTCAGCAATGTCATCATTATCAAATAAAGCGTTCCACTGTCAACTATGAGAAACTGTACAGAATTGCGATTGTAATTTTTTTCTTTTTTAGGTACAAGCACTCATTTCGAACTTGGGTAGGAAATGCATTATCTTCAACGTATTTTTCTCTTTTAACCCCAAACCGCAAAATGCTATCAACTCACAACAACCGAGATTTGGCCACACATCCAAAATATACTAAATTAACCTTTGCTTTGATATATATTTAAGTAATACTACAATAATATTCGCCTCATTATAAAGAATGTCTGACCAGGAAGGGGAAGTTCCAGGGCTGCGGCACCCCGAACTCGCCAGGGAAGACAGCCTCGATGTACCAAGCGAGCAACGCGTACACGACGGCGTCCAGCATCATGACGAGCATGACGTGTCCGAGGGTCAGAGGGTCGTCAGGAGATACGCCCTCGAACAGGAGATGCCACTGGGCACCCGCACCCGTGCCCTCAAACATGGACATGAGCTGGCAGCCGTAGCCGAGGGCGATCTTGAAGAAGAAGCACAGCACCAGCTTGCAGGGGGCGTTGATGTAGCCGTAGCGTGGCCGTAGGAACTCGTTAGGAAGATAGGCGAAAATCCACAGCAATCCTGTCACTGTCGCCGCTATGTTCGCTGCACGAATAAACAATCTTTATTAACATTTTCTTTCTTATTTTGGAAAGACCTAACTTATACCTATAATTGGGTGTGAACCTCCAGCCAGATAGAACAACGCAGAATACCTCACACAATAAAATATCCAAATGAAACAACAGCACACCATCAGTTATAAAAATACCCCCCGATTACAAAATGTGGATGGGAAGGAAATTTCGAAGCTAAAAAAATACATATGCGAATAATACAAACGTTTGATAGAGAGAATGGCGCAGAAGCTGATGTAACTCTGGGGTACAAAAAAAACTTGTGCAAGAGCACCTGTGTCTGAGAATAGGTTGTCGATACAAATCGTCATGCGTTTACCAGCGGACCTAGTTAGCTTTTAGCTGAGTCGGCAACTTATACAGCACATGTGACGAGGACAAGAAACCGGTGGACGGAGATACGATTTGAAGTCTATAAATGGGCTGGGAACCTTGGTAAGGCCCCAGTAACTCAGAAGCACGTCGCAGTGTAACAAGCGTTAGAGCTACTCCGACCTTACGGTCGACGTCTTAGCCTTATCCCACCAGTATAACTCGCATGTATTACCACCACGTCTCAAGATAAGTTCTCTAGACAGACGTTCTCTTACTTATCCCTTACGAACTTAGTCAACGCAACCCTGTCCTCAGATTCAGTTAGAACTATAATAAATCGGGAGGTGCATAATCTTGCTTCCGGGACACCTTCGAAGAAAAAAGCGTACGTGGAGAGTACCTCTGGAGAAGAGCGTGGAGAGCAGGAAGCAGAAGCTGATCACGGTGACGAGGTAGACGCAGAGGAAGGCCAGCACCAGCGACGGGTCGCTCTTGTGGAGAACCGCCAGACTTCCACTGCCTTGCCTGCGATGAATATTTCCATAAAATATAGAGAAATAATAAATTTGTTGACTATGTCCTGTCCTTGCCTGCAAGTAATGAAGTAAAACACGAATAAAATAGATGTTTTGCAATATTTTGATATAATATATGTATGAATATATATTTATAGACGAGATTTATTGTTATGAAAGAGAGCTGCACTGCATAGTTATAAGCATCTTAATTCTGATCGATGGAGCAAACCTTGCTCGATGTTTGAGAAGTTCTTTAAACACCAGGGCAACCTTTCATTATTTTTTAGGTATTAATTTAATCCGCGGCAAGAGACTGCACGTCGGAAAAAAAGCTTGCCCGGCCTCAAATTACCATGCAAGTCTAAGGAAATGCAACCTTGAAACTGATTTGAGCAGACACCATTTGGTGCAGAGCAGAATGGTGATGAGCAGCGTCGTGATGAGCAGGAATATGAAGCTCTCACCATTTGGTGCAGAGCAGAAGAGTGATGAGCAGCGTCGTGATGAGCAGGAATATGAAGCTCTCACCATTTGGTGCAGAGCAGAATGGTGATGAGCAGCGTCGTGATGAGCAGGAATATGAAGCTCTTGACAAACCACGCCGCCCAGTGCAGGTAGTTCGGTAGACCCATCATCTTCATGGACTCCTGGAAACAAACAAATTAGATATTAAACAAATACAAATTTCAATCAAATGTTTATATTCAACTCGATACAAACAAATTCCGAGACTAAAATTATCAAATAAAAGGATTTATACCGAATTATTGACAAATAATTCACTTGCTTTTCCTTTAAATATAACGATTCCGCGTGAAAAGATAGCTGAACTGATAACAGCCAGCTTATCGAAATTTTTTGCGGGCAATAAGTCCATGTTCACTTAATAAATAAAGTTTAGAGAAATAATGTGTTCTGAACACCAAGTTACAACTGCATTTTTACTCAGCTTATTGCAGAGTAAGTCGCGTTCAACCAACCTTACCTATGAATAAAAAATCTGTAGCCAAGCGCATGAATAGTTCATATCACATGGTACTATCAACGCTTCGATGCAATTTATTGAAAATAATACTGAATGCAGAGCTGACCGGGCTACGTGCTGTCGAAATAAAGGCTTCAGGACCGCTTGAATATCCTGTGTCTCTGAGATTAACTCAATAAAGAATTGAGGGACAAAATCTAACGTAAACACAATACCTAGGCTCTAACTGAGTGTTTTTCTCTTTATCTGAGTTTGAATTCTTGTAAATTCTATCACTAAGTTACCGCATCTAACCATCAGCATTTTTTTTTATTGTATTTCTCTCTATAAGCAAAGTGAAGGCCTTTAATTTCTATCTGTACCCTCTCGCATCTAACAATCTTTTCTGGAAGTTTATTTCTAGCTATATGTGCGTGAACGCCATTATTTCTTTCACTCACCTTGAGTTTTTTCTCCTTTTCATGGACGATATTTTTGACAATGTTGGTGGCGGGATATAGGTAAGAAAGTAAGAGGATGAGAGGCAGCCACGCCTGCAGAGCCACCAGGTATTTATCATCCGTGTAGGGGGGGTACGGCATCCGTCCCATCTCCACCTGCACGGCAGGGGGGCGCTGGCCCCCCGAGTACAGCTCTGCGATGGACATGTCAATGGCGTGTTGCAGGGGCAGGTAGCCTTCGTCGTAGTAGCCTGATAAGGAAATATACATGTATATGACTATAGAATAACGTTATAATAACTGTACGCAATACATTGATCATGAAATTATATACCTACCGCTAATGTCTTGCGAGAATTCTTCTTCAATGTTTACGCAATAAATAATTTTCCCATTGATTAGGAATTAATAAGTTAACTTTTCAGATCTCATTGGTAGTGCAACTGTCACGCAAAGTACTATTTTTATCGCTGATTATGATAAACCCTGGGGTGGTCAAATAAAAATCGCTTATGAACATATAGGTAGCGGCCTAAGTACAAGTAACGGCCTGAGTGCATGTCGTAAGCAAATGCAGGTTTAACTGAGGACCAGAGAGTATTTCTTTTTTGACAATTTTCTTATTCTTTCTATTTTCGGCGAATTAGGCGTTTGATAGGAGTTGAAAATTCAAATATAAGGTTTCCACGGGGCATTTTATTATAATTTTCGACGTTGCAAATGCAACTACATTCATTATAAAGTAGTGAAAGAGTTCTCCAACACTTGAATTTGAAAATTTTAAATGACGTTAGTACAAACATAGGGTATTATTGATGCAGATTGGATGTAAACTACATTGGTTTGACCAGCACGACTTTGAGCCGCCACCTAACATGCCACCGCTAGACCGGAGGACCGAAGAACCACATGAGAGAGGCTCATAATGAGACCCTCACTCGCGCTATGTTGGAGACCAGAACCAGCATTGTCATGAGATGCCCAGACGCCACAACACTGGTCATAGCTGAGGCTCTCATCATCAAGCGTGAGTCTCCAGCTTTAAATTTGCCGACTACCAGATTAGCAAGGACGTTGAAACTGTTCTCGTAATTCAAGCCTTGATTTTCAATCTGCGCCCAATATAGTACACTATGTTTGTGCCAACGTCCTTCAAAATTTCAAATTCAAGTATTGCAAAAGTCTTCGCCTCTACTTGATAATGAATATAGTAGCATTCGAAACGTGGTAAATTATAATAAAATGTCCCGTGGGAATTGTCAGTAAGAAATATTCTCTGGTCTTCAATGAAACTTACATTTAAGAACAACTTCTCCCAAACTACACCAATGGTCGTCACCAAAGTTCACGTAGAAGCCTGAGTACAGATAACAGTATTAGTAAACGTAGCGGCCGATCTCACAAATGTGATTGGTGTCTTTTGATTCAGTAATAGTATAGTATAAAAAATATCAGTAATAGGCTGAACAAATTAATAACTTGCGACTATGTTCAATATAATAGCCCGGTGCTCACCCGGCATGGGTCCGTGACTGGAGTTTCGCTCCCGCGGTCCAGGCACCTGGAAGAGCGGGTACACGAGCTCCGTCAGCCACTGCGGCGGCGGGGCAAACGGCATGTGCTTCTTGCCGCTCCTTAGCGATCCTTTCATCCTTATCTTGTACTGAAATGATTAATTTTATATTATTTCGTTAATCAGTTAATACTTCGATGAGTGAAATAAAACGTAAAATTTGATCAGTTAATTTCTTACCTATGTAACAATTCTTAATCTCGTACCTAGTAATTCAACAAAAGTAAAACTACATGAATATTAACTGACTCACTTCTATTGAAGCATGACTCACTTCAATACTGGCAGGGACTTGCTCAGGGTTGGGGCACTCGGGCATGAAGACGATACCTGCGAGGTAGTCGTCCCCTGTCAGCGTCCCTGTGGGCACGCTGGTGTTGTGGGGCAGCGCCAGCGCCGTCAGCTGCTTCACCATCTCCGCCTCAGACGCAAACCCGTACACTATACAGGAGAATAGTGAATACTATTATTATTAGTATTGCTTCACCATCTCAGCCTCCGACGCAAACCCGTACACTGTACACGTGAATAGTGAATAGTATTATTATTAGTATTGCTTCACCATCTCAGCCTCCGACGCAAACCCGTACACTGTACAGACCAATAGTGAATAGTATTATTGTTAGTATTAGAATTGCTTCACCATCTCCGCCTCTGAAACAAACCCGTACACTGTACACGTGAATAGTGAATAGTATTAGTATTACTTCACCATCTCAGCCTCCGACGCAAACCCGTACACTGTAGAGACCAGTAGTGAATACGGTAGTATTATTAGTATTGCTTCACCATGCCTTTTGACGTAAATCTGAACTCTGTGAAGCGTTTAGTGAATTTTATTATTATAAGTGTTGCTTCACCATTTCATCCTCAGACACATAACCATAAAATATAGAGACCAATAGTGAATAGTATTTTTCCAGGATTATTATTGCTGTTTCACGAACTCTGCCTCAGACGCAAAACCGTTCTCTATACAGTGATACAATAGGATTAAAAGCATAGATAGGTATTATTACACGATTAAGGCTAATTTAAAGCAAGGTCACCATGCCTGTTTACCTCATAGGAGCATTCTGACTCAGACACGTTCAGATATATCGGGCCAATGCTATAATGGCCCGTATGCTAAATAGGGCACTAGCACTACGAAGTAGCACTACAAGCCGTAGTGCCTACTATAGTGCGACATGGAACAGTACGGTTGTCAAGCTAAATAGGGCACTAGCACTATGAAGTAGCACTACGCACTACAAGCCATAGTGCGGCATGGAACACTACGGTTGGTATGCTAAATAGGGCACTAGCACTATGAAGTAGCACTACGCACTACAAGCCATAGTGCGGCATGGAACACTACGGTTGGTATGCTAAATAGGGCCAAAAGCATAACGCACACTACAAAAATCTGAAGTGTTCTACACACCGCACTTCACGACGACACTACGGTATATTTAACCTTGTTTACTTCGTCAGCTATGGATCTGTTTGGCTTACAGCAAAGGCATCATCGCGTAAAAACCTCAGGAACTACATGCCATGAATATAAAAAAGTGTACCGCTTCAGTGAATAACATATTATTCTTATGGCTGACATTTTCCTGGGCGAAACAGATGAACAGCGTAGAAGTAGAAAATACTTTTCTTGTTTTTGATACCATGTTTTGAATTTTTTTTCTGGAGTCATTTTGAATTCTTCTGCAAGAACTTTCCATGCTTCTCTCTTTTGTTCGATGTCTTTGGGAAGCGTGGCCTTTGAATATACATATGATGAGAAAGGTACGCAGACGCATTGCGAATTTCAGCTCACCATCACAATTTTCACTAGTACCATTATATACCATCACAATTAGACATTTTACATCAATCTTCTGCAAAGAATGAGAAATACTTAGGGAATAATTAATTATTTGCGCACTTAACTACCATTCTTCAATAGACTCATAGCGTAGTGCGGCACTATAAAGTACTCCAACAGCGAAGTAGCACTTCAAAGTCTTTTTGCATACGAATCAGTAGTGCGACACTAAACGACACTAAACATTGTAGAGCTACTTCGAAGTGCTTAGTGTCTGTGACGTATTTAGCATACCAACAGGACACTTCGTAGTGCATAGTGCTACTTCGTAGTGCTAGTGCCCTATTTAGCATACGGGCCAATATTAAAAAGAACAGGTCTCCAGGTCTGACTTCTATGCTTTGAAGGTTGAAGTTTATAGCAAAATGCCCATCATTTAAAGACTGGGATTGGAAATATTTTTGAATTGGATAATTTTACGATAAGCAATGGAGTGTCACTTTATTACCTATATGCTTTATTGAACCTTATATGTCATTGAGAAATATTTTTACTTGGAAAACTTCACGATAGGCAATCGAGTTATGAAAGTTACTTTATGAGCTGCTAGCGACTTATTTAAGCAGCTTACAGATGGAGAAAAGTGACCAACGCACCATCAATGTCAGGATACAGTCTGTCGGACGCCAGCCTCATGATGGTCTCACATCCCGTGTCGTTAGGAGTGTAGGCAACGGGCCAGTACACTGTAGACAGTAACTGTATTAGGGCCAGTACACTGTAGACAGTAACTGTATTAGGGCCAGTACACTGTAACAGTATTATAACCGATATATCGTATAAAGTAACAGACTATCAGTATTGTTATCAGTAAATTCTCAAAAATTTAAGCCGGACATATAATACTTGGTAATTAAATATGATATTTGGAACCATGGAAAACTACGTAACTGCATGAATAGCAATACATATAACACAAGTACAACACATCGGCTGTTAACTTTTTTGCTGCTGTGATGGCAAATATACTTAGCAAGCGACCGATGAAACGTGGGCAATAAAATATCATTGTGCGGCAAATTGTTGAGATGGAAGCATTTGTCTTACAACCGCACTAACAAGACTCATTTCTTCTGCAGTTGAATAGTTCTTTACAGGGTGGTCATATGTACGACCATGTATAAACTTATAATTAGTCCGTATAATAATTGCAAGAAATGAACATTCCAGTGGGATTAATTACTAAAACAGACACACACACTTCAGAGTTACTCACAGTCACTGGAACCGAAGATCCCCAACAAGTTGTCCACGAGGGACTGACGCTTGACGCGGCGAAGGCGCGAGTCAGGCTCATCGAGCGGACCTACACAGAAACCTCAATGTCAGCTTAGTGAATTTTAAACTCAACATATAATCTAATACTAGAATTAAATGTTACATCTTTAAATTAATAGTTTCATTTCTTGAAACCAAATACGAGAAGCCTCAAGCGGGAAAACGAAGAAGGAATAAATAAAAATATTTTTAATTTAAAAAGTGTCGTACATTATTCGCTTATAACAAGTTAACAACAGGAACAAAAATTTAACTTAACCTCACGTGTAACGTGTTAGTATCGCAAGAACTCCCTGCATAGAGAGGTGGCTAAATTTTCATCATAAACATATACCAAGATAGGTAGTAAGGGCTAAAATAAATGAAAAGATTCAATTAAGCAGCTTGTCACACTGCGGAGCCCAATTGATAATGCTTTCAACGTGACTAAGTACACTGTAGCCTCCAAGTCAATTTCTAAACAGGTGCTGGCTTCGTTAAGGTTGCAACTTTCCTGCCTATATGGCTGGAATTTACGATGAGAAAAAATTGATGATACTTTCTTTACTAGGAACTTACGTTACTTTGTTTACTGGAAACTTACGTAAGGATCGCCGTTGTCGAGATGTCGTCCCAAAGACGGACTTCAATGCGCCATCGAAGAACCCGGCCGATGTGGGGGGCCTGATATATAAATACACAATTACAATACTGAAACATAATTAACATGATATGATCAAAATCTCTTTGTTTTAATAGCTAATCACAAATCCTTTAGAAATGGACATGCTATTTTATTATATCACAGGGTATGTTAACAGTGACTAGAAGATAGTGGGCCTGGAAATTGTGCGAATACAGCAAGAAAACTACATGGCACAAGATGCAGTTCAGTGACCCAGACTTTAGAGTAAAGTGGCACCAATTGGCGGTCACTGCATGGCACATGGCTATCAAAACCACTTAATGCGCGCATAAATGGCATTTTGTAACTTAATTTAGTTGTTTTCTAGATTAAAGATAGGAAATATTATGCCAAATACATAGCTGCAACAAACTACACAACAAAAATGCAATAACACAATCTTGGTGTATTTTGTGTACCGAGATAACATATTGTTCTGGATAAGCCACCGAGAATTTAGTAAATGAATGACGAGGAAACTCGCAAAATTGCAGCTAAACGACAGACTTCTATATGTGAAAAACGAAAGAGATTTTCAAAAATGTAGTTACCTAAAAAATCATAAATATTGATAACCACCCAGTGCATTATCACCAGAAGGAACAAAATTGAATTCAAGAGTACTCCAAAATCAAAAATCAACTAAAGGGGAACACTGCGTCAGAATTAAAAACAAAGATATATTTCTAATGACACTATGGCACGCGACTAATTTGAAAACAAGCATTGTATCCTCTAGTGAGCTTTCTTGATACCTCGAATAAGCTCGCTATAGAGTATAGATAATAACAATATATATCATGATAGAGATAATATGTATCAAACATGAGGAATTAATGCTGTTATACTAACTTGAGGTCGTCCGGTAATTTGTCAAGGGAGAATGTAGGGAAGAGGGTAGGCTGAGGGTATACGTCTGAGGGCGCGAGGCCTCGTATCACCACAAGCACCACGCAGAACACAATAGGCAGCACCAGCTCCCCAAATGTTTGCTTCTGCAACATAAACTTAGTTCAACTGATGATGGAGCTCGTTGCCGAAACGTTTTCAACGAACATATGATGAATTTACTTGCTTGGCATTTCATTTGATTTTATCCATGTATCTATAAGCTTACTGCATACTGAGTAATAACAGTGATGCAATAATAACAGCCTTGATGGGCCTGGACAACTGAAGGTCAAAGCAATCATACTGTATGGCAAGTGCAACTATGCGCCTTCCCAACTTACACTTATATACTTTTTTATAGCGTATATAGATCAACAGAATTAATTAACTTACCTCGCAACAGAATACTAACTAATGACAGAATATATTAAGATAGCGGCTAAAAGACCTACACTCTATGCCAGCATAGAGGAAATGGAGTCCATCAATAAGTGTCTGGCCTCGATGTATTAAATGAATTGTTTTTAAGATCCGCCCGTGAATCAAAATAGATACATGATTATGCTTATTGTTTTTTCTATGAGCCTAAACTTATGGAAAACAAACAAACAAAGAAACAAAAGCCCTCTTGTTTACTGATCCTTTTTACAATAGACTCTCAAGGCATCGCAATTTCTTCAACCCCAAGATTCTTAGATTGATTAATAAGGTTGTAGCCATAAATAAACTCAAATTGTTATTAAAAACAGAATTAAATATTTCTCGCGAAACTCATTTATTTATAGATTCGGGAAGCGCTAAAAAATAAAACATGAGCGCAATAACTTCTACAAATTTGTTTCACGAAAAAATGCGCAAAAGCATTGTTATCATGTTTTTATTTAAATGTCGTAGTTTATGTCGTAAAGAGCATATTTTAAAAAGAGCATATTTAACTATGTCATTAAGAGCAGCATGTTCCGCACATTTTATCCGACAAAAAGAAACTCGGAAAACATTAGACACGTGACGAGCAGGTGACGCGTGCGTGACTCACAACATTGCGGCGCTGCAGCAGCCAATTCTTCCAGAGCAGCAACAGGAACTTGCGGCCGCTGGAAGCCAGACCTCTGCGAGTCTGCTCCATCTCGCCCTTGTCTGCTCCCTGCCAACCCTGCCGTGCAAAACAGTCAATGGTAATCCCTTTATACTAGTCATCCAACATCACAGCCAAAATGTGTAAGATAATGCATACCAAAGCAAACCCTGCAGCGTTGAAGAGCCACCAGAAGCATTGAAGCCAACAGCAGCATGAAAATAAACATTAGTCAGGTAAAAACATCAATGAACTGAACCGAGTACTAGTGATAAACTCGCAGCAAAAGTAAATTGTTATTGACGTTCGTTACCGTGCAGTTGGCATTACCTTGACCGTTTTTTTAAAACAATCTTTTGAGAAACAATCAACGGCCTCATTCAAAGTCAACGCCAAAGCTACAATTAAGGTTATGCACAGTATAGACGCATAAAAATATCGATTTATTGCAACAACAATAATAAAATCTCAGCACAAGGATAAAATTATTTACGAGCTACAAATTTGTCAATCAAAAATAGAGTTCCGCAATACCAAATGAATTTGGATTCAGAGCGAGGTGCTTCCTACATGGACATGTTATTTATGAGCTTCCAAATAAGCATCTATTCTTGAGAAATAAAGTTTATATATATTTTACGGAGTTTAATCTATATTTAAACTTTTAGAAATTCTACGCTGACATTGAAGAACAAAATATTTCTCCATCCATGCAAGTAATGAGATACCAACAGTTCTTAGCTAGCTCATGAGGCGTTGTGTAATGAAGCAGCTGTCCGTTCCTAAACTTCAAAAAGTGGCTCGATGAAACATGAGACCTGAATATGAATCAGAAAAATCATAGTTCATTTACGGCTGATTAATTAATGACACCAACGACAAATCGAGTTTTAGGAGCGACATCCTCCACTAAAAATCATGCGTCTGTGCTATCAGCTGTTTTATGCTCAGCAAACTGCGGTAAAACAATAAGCTTTAGTGCGATTTATCAATTTATTGTGGGTAATGATTGTGTGGAGGGTTTGTCTCGCCTCCTTGTATTTCGATGCTGACAACTTATGTGGAATTGGAAACGTGCAAAAAAACGAAGATAGTTTCGTTGTAATAAATTAATGAAGTTATACATTGACATTTTGGATGTGATCGATACGAGCTTGGCTGCATCGAATAATAGAAGCAGGATTCGCTGTTCAACACTCATGAACAGACACGAATATGCTCTTCACTCACGACAGTCATAAATGCTTTCAATAACCTTAGTTTCGTGAGTACGGTTCACAGCGTTCGTTTTAATAACCTAGACACGAATTTATTCCGTTTTCTCAACATATTCAGGTTGAGAAACGAACTATGAAGCATAAATCTCAAGAAGGTTTACGGTACACGGTAACACAAAAGTATAAATTTAAGTGACAATTAGTATGAGTTTCGCGTCTACACGCAACCTTCACCTTTGCAGTACGGTAGTAATCATGGTTAATGTAAATAACATATTTGCCGTGGAAGTCACTTAAATTTCTTTAATTGTAGCAGCGCTCCCAGAAACTACAATTTTTCAAGGAGATTACATTACGATGATGGGTAAGCCTATAAGCCTCGATATACAAGAGGTGCAGATATTCCAATCGAAGCTAGAGCGTGCCGTCAATTGACGCCTACTGCAATATTAACGAGCACACGACAACTGAGCACTCAGCACCTACTGCGCACAATAAGAAACACGAGCACACGACCATGCAGAAGTGCGCACACCTGTGTACTATCTATAATATAAAATATAACTCAGTACTCACTGCATTCAGTGAGTGACAGAGAGCGCATTTTCTCGTCGACGAAAACTTGAGGTCACGGACGGACGGGCAGACAGACAGGCGGACCTGGCGAGCACAATAGTGCATTTTTTCCGTAAATGAGAAAATGCGCTTATAAGGTGGCTTATAGACACGAACATACACAACGGGCAGTCTAGCAGATGAGAGGTGAGTATCGCATTACTATAAGAGGTGCTTGCTCCTCATCCAACATTGTAATACTTGAGTGTTAGTTTAAAAATAGAACCTTGTGAGAGTCACATGCATGGGCACATGCGGCAACTGAACAGTTCGTAGCAGAAACTTGTAAAAATATATATAAAAATTAAATATAAAAAATGGCGTAGCTTTATCAAAATTATTTTGATAAAGCTACGCCAGCTCTACAGGTAAAAAATATTGCTACGTATAAGATCAACAGTAGATAAATATTCGAGTAACGAATGTGGCAAGTGCACTCGTGAAAAATAATTCATGACAGTGTTGGTCAGGAATAGCTATCTGAAACAGACATAAATATTTGTGTTAGAGGTCCAAATCCTCGTGTATATAAGTAAACTGAGCTTCAGGTCCGAAGCTTGCAGTCTACAGAAGAGCAAAAACGTTATACCTGCTATGTGTATCGTTGTGCATGCAACATGCATCAGTCGAAGTCTATTATATACAGTCACGGTTGAAGCTATCATCATTGATAGATGCATCACGAATAATATGATAGAATAAATCCAAATGACAGACAGGATTACAAACATGCAGCATGATGATCCGGAACAATCGACACGCAACAGCTGCACGAGTTCGTATGTAGACACTTTATTATGAACCCAAAATTCTGAGAATTTATAAAAAAGGCCACCCTAGCATCGAAGCCCTCACTCAAAGAAATGATTGGGACTTCGTCAAATAGCGATGTACTTTTTAACCTAATGTGGATAAACCTCGTACTGTTCGGTCCGGTAAAATAGCTAGTCAGTGCTAGGTCGCCTTTGTGTGCTTGTGCTGTGTGTAAAAAAGTGTCACTAATTGGACAATGAGATCCATTCATTTAACTGAGTGCTCACACTACCAGCATTTCCTGTCGTCATGCCACCCGCCACAACACTGCCCCCACACACCCACCAGGATGAATGCACTCCTTTTGTCATCCCGACATAAAGATGTACTCTCAAAATATTTTGTGACTATTGAATGCTCTACGACGATTGTGAATTTTCTCAAAGTCGAAAGCTGGATCGTAAAAGTGCAAAATAAGGGGCAAATGTTCGTTATTTAGCCAGCATTGGTTTCACCATTTATATGTGATGACTCTTTGTGGTAAGGTTTATGAATCAGCCATCTTGAGGTACACTAGACGAGATATTGCATCATGTATTTGCAGCACCGAACACAGAGGTGGCATTAGAGTCGAAGAATTATATTGCTGCCATGAAAATTATATACAGATAGGCTTGTTCTCGGATGTATGCATGCTCACGTGAAGCAATTTAGCAATAAATATTATACGTATCAGAGTTTCTTTGCGTGTATCACGCGCTATTAACGTGAATCGAGCGAAAAGATTTCCCATACTAGCTTGAGATCCCATATTGCGAATGATCCGCTGACAGATATACGGTAGTGAAAGGAAGTAGCCAAATTGATTTTCTTAGTCAACTGAGTGCAATGAATATAGCGAAATTAATTTGAAATAAATTCAATACATATTTAATCCACAGCTGAAACAATCAATTTTTCAACTTGAATCCGTGTCTGAAAATTTTTTCATTCTTTGCATGCTTAAATGACATTCGTTTAATTACTTGAAGCCGCTCAAACATTTACAAGAAAGGCCAAATCTACCTTAAAAGGTAATAGTCTTTTTCTAATACTATTATGGATGATGACAAGTGTAAATTATGCGCGTCAACAACAACCCAAATAAAAATTTAAGGTGGCGCATCGATGATTATCAGTGGCTACAGGTGGAAATTATAGGTGGAGCACCGATGGCGCATCGATGCGGCATCGATGGCGTGTCCGGCCTATGTTCCACCTATAACCTGCCTATGGCCACCCTACTCGAATAACCCTTCTTCCACCAATAACTGCCCATTGGCACCGGTGGCGCATCGATGAGCCACCGATGGCCACCTTTAAAATGAAGTCGATAAAAATTTTTCATTTAGCTTCACATATGATGCATTTACATTTACTGACATTGCTCCAGACAACCATATTCTGAGGACTACGTATGAATATACACCCTGGCAGTACAAGTAACAATGTCAGACATGTAACAGGATCAAATTATCAGAGTACCATACACATACCTCGTGAGTAATCGACTTGAAGAAAGTCCCAGCCTGCAGGATTCGAACTCCGATCTCCCGCACGCGAAGCAGACCCTCTACCGTTGCGCCATCGGAGAGGATATGCAGTCGAGTAATTTTAAAAGATTTAACTGAAGTATTGAAAATATTAATTTCATCGAATGATAGAAGTTAAATCTCCCACAGTGATGATTAGATGGTTCCATTCGCCATTTTATATTCGTTATAATCGAGAAAACAGCCGCTGAAAGATACTTCGTTTATCCATAACGAACGATGGTTCAGCTCAGAGCAAAGGCTACAGGAAAATGCTTGATGAGTATCGAAGTTTCATAATGTGAACATTACACCAATTTTAACAGCAGCTCGATTCGAAATATTTTCAAGTATATTCTTGGTGTGTTTTAACGAATTATCACTCGATGATTTTGAAAAGTCAGGCGTGAAATGCCTTCATCACTTCGTGTCACTATTTTTCGGCAGCCTAATGTTTAATTTTTTTCGTAGGAAAGACGTAGACTCCACTTATCTCGCCACCCTCTCGATTTATTGGAGTTTTATTGTCGATTTTTGGTAGATCTGGCCACCCACCGTTACGCCACCTGCAATCTACCATCGCCACCTATAATCATCGATGCGCCACCCTTAATTTTTACTTGGGAATGAATTTTCAAAAATACATCTACTCCGGCGTTACATTTATTCGGCGATTGAGCTTGCGTCACGATGAAGAGAACACAATAAGGCTTCTTGTGGCACGCAAAACATGGAGCTCGTTTCCAGAGGTTGTGATCGAGGTCACGTGTTGCATAATGTCCTACGCATTCAGCTTCATATCCCTATAATAGCCCACGTCAAGTGTATCCGCTTCAGCATTTCTGAATATTCTATCATTGTCGCATATTCTTGTACGTATACTAAGCCTATATATACATGCAGTGAAGAGACCTAATAAGCCGCAATAGGGAAACAATAAAAAATTAACGTATTTGAAAAATGTTGGAAGCATTGTTGATGGAAAACTTAAATTTAAACCTGTTACATGATCCAAGAATACCGACTCATTCCAAATCAAAACATAAGCATGCAGCAGAGTTGAAAATTCTTAGAGCGAAACAAGAACATTTAAGCAGTAAATTGAATTTGTTAAATTTACTGTTTAAATGTTCTTGTTCCGCTCTAAGAATTTTAAATTCTGCTGCATGCTTATGTTTTGAGAACATTGGTATAATGATGTGTTGATGCTTGTTCTTACCTTACCGGGAGCAGACGAGGGAACGATCCTAGGCGGCTGTGCGTCGTGGAGAACACAAATGTGAACAAAACATTGAATTAAAAATTGAAGTTCATCTTAAGCAACAAACAAATACTATAAATATATGCTACAGTACGCAATCTTTAACATTAAAATGTAATTTAATTGATAAAAGTTAAAACATCAAAACACAACGCACAACGAGTGAAGTGAAAGCTTGAATAAATTAATTGAAGCATCAAGCATATAAACGAACATCAATGAAAAAAAACAAACAAATCGGAAATGAATCAACGACAAGGAATATAATTTCACATGTGTAACTGAACGAAAAATTCTCTACAGGCGTTAAATAACCACAAACGGGATATTTGTGCTGTTAGGCAGAAACTGTTCTTTAATACAAGTTTCAATGAAGACAAGAGAGTAGATTTTATTGACGATTTTTTCATTGTTCCCCTCTATTTGGCGAATAACTTTTTGTGGTATTGGAAAGTTCAAATATAAGCTTTCCCAGAGACGTTTTATTAGAATTTACGACCTTTCGAATAGTCACTATTCATTATCAAGTAGGTGCTAATGAATATCTTCGATCTACCACTTTGAGCAAGGATCGACCAAAAGAAATTTTTAAATCTCGGACTGAATTGCCATCTTATGTCCAAATTCAGCAAAAGTAAGACGAAATTCAAACTCTAATTGTTTGATTGATTCTCTTTTGAAACTCAAAAACAACTGTAAAATTAACATTAACCCCGACTTAAAAGGCCTGTTAAGAGCTGAAGCCACCAAAAAGAAAGGCTTTTCGACCTTATCAGTTCTAACTCCAGCTCTACACCTGGCAGCAAAACAACTCAGAGATATCGACCAAATCGCAATAAGAAAAGCTGATACAAGCAACATCTTTTCTATTTTAGATAAAACTAGGTTTATTTCGAAAATTAATGAATTCGCATCGAGTGATTCTAAAGACGAGACCCTACAGAACAGCATCAAAGAACTAAAGAGTTAATAGATACAGCTAAATGAGTCGACGGCTCAAGAAAACTAACCCCAATCGTTGGGAAGTTTTCAACAGGTTACCTCTAAGGAAATGTTCAAAAGCATATAGAGAACAACCCGCTCCCACCCATAAACGCATCAGACAACCCAGCAGTTGGATGCTCTAATAAAACAGTACATCCCTAAGAAATTTTCGCTTAAATCTGGAGATTTCTTGGATATTCTACGCTATACGCGATCGGCGCCCATCTGGTATTATGGCTTCACTTGACGTCGAAAGCATTTACGAACGTCCCAACCGAAGAAACCTTGGGAAAAATAGCGAAGCATGTCTACTCAATCAAAAGTTTGCCGGCTCCATCAATCCCTAAAAACATTCGACTAGATCTCCTCCGCCTCTGTACTTCACAATCGCCTTTCTGCACGACCCCAGACAACAAAATTTAGCAGAAAATTAACGGTGCAGCCATGGGCAGTCCACTCGGTCTAACATTCGCCGAATTCTAAATGTGCGAACTCAAAAGCCGAGTGCTGTTAGATGCACAGATCAAGCCTGACCTTTGTTTTGGATATGTTGACGTCATCGTTCAGGACAAAGATCACCTGACGAGGCTGCGTCTGATTTTTAGGATTCGATTTTTTAACGTTCACTTCCGAATTTGGACAAAATCCCACTTTATCTTTCTTTGCTATACTGCTGCAGGATAACAATAATTCGTTCGTCACTAAAGTTTGCCGGAAACCTACAGACGTTAATTGGAGAGATCCTAAATGAAGAAAGTGCGTGCCCGCAGCGCTAAAAAATCAGCACCATACGTGTCCTGATACATCGAGCGTACAAAACCTGTTCATCCACTCGTGACCTGTTCATCCACTCGTTCATCCATTCCTGTAAACAACGGTTATGCAAGCAAAACTATCGACACCGAAGTTTCAAATTGTCCAGCACGTCAAAATCAAACAGATAAATTCGCATCAAACGATAAATAGCGTCACGAGAATTTACTATCGAAACCAGATATGAACAGCGGTTATAGGGGCAGACGAACGAGTCCGCATGTTAATTGTGCAAAATAACACAAAGCTGCACAACAACGACTGACCAATTCAAACCCCTGATTTACTACAGAATCAAAAAGATCAGGGCAGCGTGGCCCAGTGGTTACAATTCAGAGTACTACCAAGATTGGAGCACAGAGGCGCGGGTTCGATCCCAGCTCTGTGCGCCAGTTTCTGGTCAGAATCGGCAATAAGGCCGGGCGGTTAATTAAGCAAAGCAGAATTGTAGCAGTGAGTTGCGTGTTCGAAACCACATCAAGATGTTCTGCGATGTTAAGAATCGGCGACAGGCCTACGGCCTAATAAACGCTGGAACCGCTATTATTATTATTATTATTATTATTATTATTATTATTATTAATCATGCCAAATAATCCATGTAAAATATCCGGACCGCTGCAAGAAACCAATGTTATTTACAAATTTTCCTGCTTGAAAGAAAGCTGCAGACTTCTCCAAATGTAAATTACATCGGTTTGACCAAATTACATCATGACATTGAGCTGCAGACTCGCATGCCATCTGCAAACAGGATGGCCAAAGAATCATAAGCTGAGGTCCACGAGACCATCACCCGTGCCACGTTCTAAGCCTGCACCAGCATCGTCATGCGGTGCTCCGATACTATACTACAAGACATGATGCGACAGCAGAGGCTCTTATGATCATAAAGGACGAGTCTCCAGCAGCTATCAATTTGCAAACCACCGCATTTGTCAAGACGTTGAAATTATTATGGGAATAATTTTAGTTACGATTTTGAACCGTATCTAAGATACAATTGGTTGTACTTATGTAATTTTCTAATTCCAATTTTAAGCGTTTTAAATAAGTTTTCGCCTACTTTTTAATGAATATTGCATATTTGAAACACCGTAAATTTTAATAAAATGTTTCTTGGAAACCTAATATTTGAACTTTCCAATCCCACAAAAAGCCTGATTCGCCAAATAGAGACTCTCCGGTCTTCAATGAAACTTGTATAAAGAACAGCTTTTGCCCAACTACTGCAACTAGGTACACTAATCATCAGTATACGATTACAAAAAGACTAACATCAAACAAAATACTTCGTTCAAGCGAGCACCATAAAATAATCAAGTTGAGCTGGCAAGGCATAAAAGAGGAAAGAATAAATTTATGATGCTAGGATGACAACAGCGAAATGAAACTGACAATAAAACTGGTAATAGCAACGTTTTCGAGAGATTATTATAGTTAATTCACTCGAAATTTGTCTTGGATTGAAATCATTTGTTAATTTACGATTTCAATAAACTAATGCTGTGATATATACACGATTAATATTATAGTTGAATAGATAGAATATATATATGAAACGCTGAAAGTCTCGACCATATGTGTGCATACAACCGATCACAAATCGAATTCAACTTTACGAATTGAAAGACAAAATTGGTCAGGGAGAGGATGGATAATTTGAAGGAATAATTTGCTTCTCAGTATAGGGATACGGTAATGAACTGATCTTTAAGCTAATGAAAGTGTCGATATTATGATACCGAAAATGTTAACTTGGTGTACTGAAGTAATCGGAAACGTTGTAGGTCCCAAAATTATTATTATTTATTATTTTTAACGCTACAAGAGAGTCACAACTACTCACCTTACTGCCACTGGCAGCAGCACCCCTCAAGGGCTGCACCACGGTCGCCAGCATCGTCCTGCGCTCTTCAAGTGCACGCTTCAAGAGATGCGAGATCAAAGTCTTTTCCGGTCTCGCATTCGAACGTAGCAGCCCACTTCTGGATACTTGAATGTCGTCTTTAAAATTAAATTAGATAGGATAGATGGGCGATGACCTCTTCCGTTGATTAAAGCTATGCTATATATACTAGCATCACTTTTTCAATTCATCATGTCTTAACCCAAACTAACACTTTTTAATTTGATTCCTAGTTACACATCACATCAACTACTAATTTCACTCACGGTACATAGATTCCAAAATAACAAAGTATCTAATATAAAGGCGCGTGACTTTGAGATGTCACCGAGACACATTGTTATATCAACACTAATTATTGCAGGGTATCGCCCAAGACGGAAAAGCTTTTAATAAACTTTGTACTTTTCGTTGAATTCATGGATCACTGATGAACAGCCTCAATTTTTAGAGAGGAATTTCAGTGCAATAACTCTGTTCAAAGAGAAGGAGGAAACAGATTTATAAATCTGTCTTTTTCAGCTATGAACTACAGTATATTTATACGCCAGCTCAGTTCAATCACGAAAAGTTTTGTAGTCATGGAACGTAATCTTGATTCTTAGAAACATTGGAAATAGAAATTATTTCTGCTATTTTTGCACTGATTCGTGACTTCAACTAAGAGAATGATCGTATGAGAAACAAACGAATGCGACATATACGGTGCAACAATGTGGCCTGGGACTACAACGCCCAAAACACATACTAAGGATACAAACGAATTTTAGAGAAACAGCAAACAGAGACCTAAAGCAAGCATAAAACTGTCTGCAGCGAGCAACATAAAAGTGACAATTACTGGAGTCGGAATTACCAGGACGCCGTCACGGTTCCGGCCACTGCCAAGGTCAAATAACCTCAAGTAGACAGTAAAATTGTATTTTATTTCGTTGATTTTCGTCAAATTCTTCCGATAAAATCGACATTTAAAATCGATTATTTGTGTAAACGTTAGAATAAATAGGAACATAGAGGTATAGCAGGTAAGATAATGCAAGTAACCTTGAGGCTGTACGGAAGCAGCAAGCTCTATATAGTCACAGCAACAAGCCCCAATGAGGGTGGCCGCGGCCATGCAGGCTTGTCACGCAAGCACAGGATGTACATACTACCGCGCAACTCACGCGTTATACATACATGTTTTTACTGAAGAACGTGATTCAATATCAGAATGTTCGTCAATTACAAGCAACTACGACAATTTTGTGGTAGAAACTATCAATTACCACAACAAAATTTACCACAATTTACCAATCAATTACCACAACTACGGTAAGATAACATGGACGAGTCATATTTTCCAAGCAGTTACTCACTTTACAACCCACGCTCGAGCATGCAGATATCGGCTTTAGCAATGAAACGCCCTTTAGCCGGGCAAAACTGAGTCAGTATGAGCCACACAGGGGCAAAGAGTGCATCACTAATTGGATAATTTCACTTATTTCTTTGAGTGTAACGATGTCAACCACGCAAAGGCAGATAATTATATAAGAGCTAAGAAATAAATCAAAATGATCGGGCATGGAGCTGCTATCCAAGAAACAAGTTTTTATTGATGAATGGGAAGACTTGTATGAATGATTGAAAACCGGACGGAAGAGTGCACAAGATATTATATTAAAGATCAGCAATTAAATGCAGTTATCAGGGGTGGAGAAATGTAAAAATCATTGAAGATGAACAACAAAATTCTGAATATGAAATCAAGATGACCGATCACCAGCACGACGGTCGTATACGTGAGTCTTATAGGTCATCATCAGGCCACACAGTCGTGATGAGAGGTCACAAATCACTTATATTATTCTTAATTATTTTAGCAGATGGATGATATTTTCACACGCTCGATAGTGATTAGGTTTTTGAATAAGGCATGAAATTTCTGAGATTTTGTCCAATTAACGCTTCCAAGGCAAGTACGTTTTCATTAGAAATAGAAATTATACCTGTTATTTTGGCACTGGTTCGATCGTGCAAAGGATGAACAACTGTATAACAACGATATAGCAATAACAACGTATGTTTTATAAAGCTGTTTCTTACGTGCTGACACAGAAATGGCATCATTTATTCTTTACAAAACGACCGGTTAATGGTTTGACTGTAACTGTGAACTCAATTGCCCAAACCAAAAAGACAAAATGTAAAGACCAAACCAGTATTTTAACAAAACCAGACAGGGTAGTGTCCTGAAATCAAAACCCACCTTTTGAAGAGATTAGTTCAGAACAATTGGATTGCTAACAAGATGTATAAATATGGTCAAATACAAATTCAGTGCAGTTTTGTATAATTTGGCATCACGCGAATTTCATCAGAATGTCTAAGGCTTCAAACTGTACAAAAGGTACGCTCAATAAATGAATCGGTACTGCGATTGAATCGGTACTACGAAATGAACATATTAATAGAATGAGTCAATCCACGCTGGAGAGCAGCGTGGTTACGTACGGAGCCATCTATAATCTATCACTTAAAGGGTAAAAAAGTGGAAATTGTCATCAAAAACGAGAAAAATGAAGACCCTAAAAATACAAGATTTTTACTGCTAGCTTCGGGCGGTAAGTGAAAAAACATCGAGTGCACGATCAATTTGATGTTGCATGCTGAGTTTTTTTTTGCAAATTTAGAGCTTTCTAACTCGGAGAAGGGAAAACTTGACTCCAGAACTAAGCAGCGACTCGTGTGTAGCAAAACGCCGCATAGGATCAGAAATGATTCAATAATTTCAGATCTGCTCGATGAATATCTAGCACTACGGACAAAAACTTAACTAAATTTGTATCGTCTAATTAAGTTGAGCTAACACGTAGAGTGTTGCATAATAGAGAGCTTGCCAATGACGACTTTCTCCGCCATGATCTCTGGCCAGGATCGGGCGAAAGGTGAAAGTAAGAGTTCAAGTTCCCGTAACGCTAGTTCCCCGAGTTCAAGTTCCCGTAATGCAAGTTCCCAGAGGTCAAGTTCCCGTAATGCAAGTTCCCAGAGGTCAAGTTCCCGTAATGCAAGTTCCCAGAGTTCAAGTTCCCGTAATGCAAGTTCCCAGAGGTCAAGTTCCCGTAATGCAAGTTCCCAGAGGTCAAGTTCCCGTAATGCAAGTTCCCAGAGGTCAAGTTCCCGTAATGCAAGTTCCCAGAGGTCAAGTTCCAGTAACACAAGTTCTCATTGGTCAAGTTCTCGAAAGAGACGAAAGCTCTAAATACTTTAATACTTTCACAGCAGAAGAGTCGGTTATATTTGACATATTATAGCGTACCTACGTAAACTAACATTTTAATGAAAAGTATGAAATTTTTCACGAAGTGAAACAAGTCATCACAACAACGTGTTTAACACGATACTAAAGATATTCTCAACCCTCATTAAATTTTCTTAAATGTTCTCATGTTGAACTTGATATCCATCAAATTCAAATCATATCTCACTAAACGAGGTTTGACTCGTACGTAATGAGAATCATACGCTAATGCCTATCATTGCGACAGTAAAAAGAACTCTCAGGCTGGAATATTTCCCTTTGTCAACGAGCTTTGTTGCAAAACTATGCCAAACAACGACGCACGAACAATCATCGATTGCTACAGGACTGGCTTGCCTAAAACTTCGACGCGTTGAAAGACGCCGGCTAGCCTGGCATACAGAAAACCTGTAGTGCAGAAGCAGTCGCGCTTAACTCAAACTAATTTGTACAATATCATCATGAACATCATGTGGTCGAATAACATTGATTCGTTAATTTCTTCTAGTATGGGCAGCGATATAGATTAAACTAGATCTATAATAATTCATGTTACCATAGATCTAATGAAGAAAGGTCGAGCTTCTAAACAGTAGCTCATACGCGCCCAGTAACACCAAGTTAACAAGCGTTCATCATGCGCCGTTGGCTCTCAACGTCCATCTATGTGACCATACCAACGTCAATGCCGCATAAGTCGCCACAGCAGCTACGTCGCCAGCATTCAATAAAAACGATCTATTTTCTAAACAGAACTGAACAACGACTTTCTAGTGTTTTGGAAACAGCTCTGTATATAGTTATTCTGTTGTAGTGTAATCTTACAAATCTTAGTTGTGTCCAGCATTATCGGTTTGTATTGACGTGTGACGAGTATATGCAGAGCGGCGACCCGTGTATCATTGACAGTAATTACGTATTGATGTATGCTAAGGAAATCGATGTATGATCAACGCATGATGCAGTGGAACGTGAGCGTGTTTGGCTGCTACTATATCTACATAAAGTTGTCAACCTTTTTCTAAATTAATTCCTGCAAATACGTTCGTAAACAAAAAAGTTATCTACAGAAAATATTGTTTGCTTTAAAAAAAACTATGTTGAACACCAATACTACTACCTCCAAGTAAAAAAAGGGCTATGCTAGTAAAATAATACCATAAATCATTTTATTTATTGTTGTATCTCTTCATTTATACATCATGCTGAACACACCATACATTGTTTATAAGTTGCACGAAGGATTTACAATTCATGAATCACGATTCATATGAAAATATACAAATGACAATATGACATGGAAGAGAACGTAACACGGAGGTAATAATTAATTCATTTTTGAAAGTCAGTACAAAGAAATAGGATTATCATGACTCACGATTGCTAAAGCAAAGTGCTAAAGGTTTACATATAGGATAATAGGATAAGTCCTAGACAGCTTCATGACGAGATAAAACGAGCGACAACATTTTATTTCGTATTCGTTTCACTGATTTGTTTGGACCTCAAAAACTATATTATATGAAAGATCTTTTTCTCAATGATTTAATTCAGAACAGATATAGTTTTGTTCCAATTCCTTCTGTGAATTTCGATTTGAAATCTAAGTTGACCCAACCGTTTTGCCAGTTCTAGATAGAACGGTCCCGGTGATTATGTGATGGTTAACATGAATATGATCGGCTCTGTCAGCTAGATGATAAAATGAGTTCAAATTTGCTCACACTTCACAGTTGTAAAAAAACTCGAATTTATGGCGTTGCAGCTTTCAATATTAGTATAATCATAATTCAATACATGAAGCTAAGTCACAATTTTCCTTGAAGTACCGTTGCGTTAGCTGACATTCGACTTCTGTTAGTCTATGATTTCACTGAGCCAACAACTGAACAACCAAAACAGTAACAACGCAGACTCGCAGAGGGTACGTCTGCATTACATAATGATATAACACTTCTTCCTAGGAACAGAAATCTTCAACCTTTTCCAAATTTAACAATTAATACACGCATATTGTTAAGCAAGAGCTACGATAAGATCATAAAGCAACGTGACATCGTATGGAAAAGTTTTCTTCGATTGCAAGACCAGAAATGGTTATGAACGGAAATTAGTAGCAGCAGACGATTTAATCACTCTATTCCTATGGCAATTTTCACAAAGCTTCGTTCTACACAGTTTTCAGTTTC